GTACAAACAAAAGAGGAACAATGGGGGGTCCCCAGTTGTAGGCAAATACACACGTGTGTGCAGGCGTGCCAAACATAGTATGGACCTCAGCACAAACGAAGTCCACATAATGCAGGGTGCGATGGCGTAGTGTGGACTTGCACACGTCCACACAATGTTCCCCCCTCTGAAAAACAGGTTCAGAGGCATTTTGGGGTCAAGGGTATTTGTGACAAAATGAGGAGGAACAGTCCAGGAAATCATCATCAAAAAATCCAGCTCGAAGGAGTTATCCTAGTCAGAGAAAAAGGAGCATTTTCCTCAAGTTTCCTTAAACACCGGAGAACAAAGGAAAGTCCTCACTTTGTATGTAAACAGGTATGTAACACAATGGGAATCCCTCAGTACTGCACACTGAATTGGCAGGAACGTGTTTAAACACCGTCCGTGTTACTACACAGACAATCCCTGCGCTTTTACACGTTATCCAGTGTGAAGTGGTTAAGATCTTACCTCGATGCCATTTTCTCGGCAGAGTTCCTCGGCGTTGAGCGCCGAGCAGTTGACAGTGTGGAAGGCCAACTCGCTGGCAGCGATCAACAGAGGAGCAGACTTGGAGAACAGCGCATCATCGTGAGTTTCCATCTGAATGGTCTTGATAAGCATGGGATAGCCCGCATACTTGTATGGTTCCAAGACTGGTCACAGTGAAAACAGAATACCGGTTACACGTCTTTTTGAAGGGCCCTTAACAACAACGTTACTTAAGAATATGTTCTCTGCAAACTTTCTGCTCCTCTTTAATATTTGGATACGGTTTGTCTTTAAATTTGGACAATACTAGAAATACATATGAGAAAGCATCGCTCACAAGCCTACTATCATGTACTGAAACAATGATACATCACCAAAGAATAGAACATCTAAGAATGCAAAATATCCTAAAAATTGAATGCAGCTTTAACATTCAAATTTCTTTCTGAAATGACACTACACTTTGAGTATGTTATGCAAATCTGCATTAGTATCAGGTGATACGATTGACCAATAGTCTTACGTCTGGTTCTTTTACACCAATATGCACACGCTGATGGCATATTTTCTTCAGGAATAAAGTATGCTACTAAAATTAGACTAAAAGCATGCAATCACACATAGTACCAAAGTGTGAAGTGATTTTTGAACCAGGAAGTGGTGTGCACAGGAACGGAGTACACACGTGTTGGTTCACATGCCGGTTCTCACAATTTTGCATACATACCTGTGCGCGACGTATTCACTTCGGTACTTTTGAGCAAGCAAAGTGTGAGATGGTTGTCTTTTCCAATTTCTGACAATTTGGACTTACTGTCTTTGTATCTCTCAAAGAGGATACTCTGAGATCTCAGGATGAGCACTATGTTGTCAGGATTGGGTCCATCCATGTGCTTGGAGGATTTACTGCACAGGAACTCATAAGCATTGCTGACTTTCTCAAACATATCCTAGCCGGAACAAAAAACATTCCACAAGAGAGTTGAAAACAAATGCAGGTGTTGTATCCTTGCCTTGAAAGCCTACAATATCTTGTAGAAACTGAAATCAAACACAACAGTTGTGGTGTGGAATTTCTAAACAATTTATTGAGATTAATTTGAATTATGCACTCCATGATTTACTGCCCTTTTCAACAGAATGAAACTGTGAGACAGCGTAGAAGGAACTTTGGTTCTAGATGATTAGTTGTGTAATGGTCTGATGGTGGCACAGGGGTTTGCTGAAATGCACGACTTGCTGTACTAGTGAAAGAGCAACTCAAGACTACCATTTAACGAGGTGAGCTTCTACAGGTTGTATTGGAACTAGGTACCCAATTACATGATAGCTGCATAACCATGGTTTATTTTTTTCAATATCTGTGCTACGTGCTACACTGACAAAATGCACTCTAGCTCCCCTCTTAGCTGTGAAAAACACAGTTATTGAAAACATTAGAAACAAAATGTCAACCAAAAATTTTGTGTCCCCTTACAAAGGTGGCCTGGGATGATGTACAGCTTTCGGCAGTAAAAAAACCTGGAACCAGACATATTTGGTCAGCATCTGATGCCTGGGGTTCCAGTTACTAGCTTGACTGAGGTTTGGCAGGAGAGTTTTATACCTACCCTGCCCTCAGGATTCTTGTCAGGATGGTACTTCTGTGCTAGACGGAAGTAGGCCTTACGGATCACTGATTCTTCATGGCTGAGATCAAATTAGGAATGAACAGATATCATCCAACAATTCTGCTGTTTTGGTTGATGTCAAAAGCATTAAGGCTTTATTCACATTACACTTTGCGGTGTCTGGATTACCGGTTTAATGACGGAAAACTGCAAGGCCATTTGATGTAGGGAGTGCCGAACATAATTGTCAGTGTGAATGCATATGGTCACACTCTACTTGGAAATATCAAGAAAACAGCAGCCCATTTTGCCCAGACTGTTACTAAATGAGACGCTTTGCAACTGAAGCATTAAGTTTTTTCATGTAACTTAACCAATCGGTCAAGGCAAACCTGCAGTGGTTAGCCTTGAGCAATGGACTTATTAGCTTACCCGCCCACAGCCGTCTTGAGTTTCAAGACTTCATAGGCCTCCTCGATGGACATGGAGGGTGGCTTCTTCTCCACTTCTTTCTTCCACTCCTCCAAGATATCCTTCAAGAGCTTGACCTACAGAGGGTGCAAGAAGTCAAATCAGATGGTTACACCGAGACATGATAGGAAAGTGTTCCAATTCACAGAGTAAAAGGGGCTTAGGAAATTACAGCAGGTGTACGGCACATTCACTTACAGGTTCCCTGATGGGCCAATCAGGGAAGCGTTCCTTGTCGCAGAGGTGCCGCAGGTAGTAGATGTTGACGAACAGCTCGCCGTCGAGTTGAGGATAGTTGATGAGAGGGATGGGACAGTACTGGTAAATGGCCCGTGTGTTGCTCTGAAGACGTGGAGTGAAGTCCGCTATATGGGCAGCTATTTTCTCAATCATCATACGCCTAGGAAAAAATAGATAAAATGAACTGCTTTAATAACTAATCAGAAACGTACATTTGCATCGTTACATCTGCAGTCTTGAAAAAAATTCAAAAATTGAAAGAAACTCTAAATTTTTTTAGTTTTCACAGCAAAAACAATGAAGGAAGCCAACAGTTGATAGACAAATATCAAAATGAAAATTTAAAATTCTTCCTTTTAAATATTTACAAAGAGGTTAAGTCCACCCCAACCCCAAATCACTAGTTATTCTTTGTTCTTTCTTTCAAGAAGATTGAGCACTAAATAAGAAGACAGTGGCTTGGATCTACATCCCTGAATCCTACAAAATCCTTTTCAACTTCCCACCCACTCTTCTCATTGTAAAGCAATTGACACCATTACCTATGCTATACGTTCCTTTTCCACAAAGACCCAGACTTTGCATGAAAAATAATTGTTACTTCACACGAATACAGCAAGTACCCATGACCTATGATCCTCAACCCGTGGCCTCACCTCATCTCAGCACTCCAGATGGCTTCTGGGGTGTCAAACTCCCCGAGGAATGTCTCGGCAAACTTCTCGGCGCTGTGGTTCTCCAGGTAGTGCACCATGGCCTCGGGCAAAATGCGGCCCAGAATGCTGCGGTGCATGGTGTCTGATTGCTTATCCTGTGTCACATGAGAAAATTGTAAATGCAGCCTGTGTGACCTACTACCTATGACTTATGACTAACGGCCACTAGCTAAATGGATACACACAAAATGGGCCTAGAAAGACTCAATGAAAAATTTTGACGGGTGAGTCTTTTTTAAAAAGGGAAAAATGCATGAAATTCATGGTCACGATCAGATGCTACAGGACTGTGCACATTCCGATGAAAATTAGTGCATAATTCAAACCACAAATCTGCAAACCAGTGCAAACACCCTGCAGGAGCCACAAACTACTGCTCCTGCATGATGTCCCCATACGTGCAGCTCTAAGAAACAATATGTGACTAACAGGTCTAAGAAACAGGTTCAAAAGGACTCCATCACCTTTGAGGTACTACACTGATGCACTTTCTCTTAACCCTGTCACTGTATGTGTGTAAGTTGGCAATTTGCGGCAGCACACCCGTCAAGGAGGCATTGATTGTGTGTACCTCCTGTCCACGAGTGTGGAGCCACTGTGATAATGGCTTCTAATTCTGGTTACCAGCTTGTCCGATAGTCTACCTACCTCGTCAGACCTGAAGGCCTGCCTCATGTGAGTGTACTTCAAGAACCTGTGTGAAAAATAACAAGTTCAAAGAGTCAATTTGAAATAATGATTTTAGTCCCCCCCATGAAATAACAATTTTTCAGTGTGTGATGCTGATGATGCAGAAGGCACGACCACAAACTATAAACAATTCTCTGTTTACTCTAATTTGTACTGAGTGACGAAACAAACACAGAATTTTTCAGCAGGTTTATGCCAAGAGTTTCACAGAAAGTGGACAGAAAAAATTCCTCTGCCATCCACTGTTGATTTGGGATCACGGGTCACTCCCGTCCGTGAGCATTTTTTAGCAGGTCTTAAATAAACTCTTAACGTACAAAAACAATACCAAACAGGCAAATCAAAACATGACATGAAGAAGCCATGATGATTCTGCAGTTCTTTTCCATACCATGCCAGGGGTAGTACATTGGACCCTGTGTACATCATGATGAAAAAGAACACCCCCGTCAGGTACAGCCGGCCCAGGCCTGGATTGTCCTGGATGATGTCAAAGATCAGCACCGAAACTTTCTCCACCAGGATGGGGTCAAAGGTCAACAGGAGCTGTGGCACCGACAGAGTATGGATTACCCAATTGCAAATCAGGATAACCTTATAATGTTTAGTGAACATTTTACACATTCTTTTCATTCAGAGATGAAGTTCATTCTAACGACTTGTATCAATCTTGATTCGACTGTTACAGGGGACAGTCTACCAGTGACTTAACCCTAACAGTCCTCAGTCCTCCAACAGGTGAAGGATTGAGGACTGTTAGGGTTAAGAAATGTAAAACAGAACAAACTGTACTATTCCAACAAGCCTGGTATTGTTGGCCCAATTTCATGTCACTACTTGACAGTTACGACAAAAGTTAACTATAGCAGAAAAATTTTGCTTATCTTTAGCACTATTTCATGGCCTGGTTGTGCCAATTGTTGTGCAAGTATGGAGATTTTCATTGCCGCAACACTGAGCTAAGCAAATTTTATCCAAGGTAAGCATGCCTTCTGCTGTAGTTACTGCTTACGGTCTCCATGAAATATGCTGAGTCTCTGTTAATGTAATATTGTGTGCTTGGAGCCATGAAACTGCATCTTGAAGTAAATGGCATGCCATAATTACCTGGACTATGTGTGGTAAGCAGGTAGCATCTGACAGGAGTCTCTTTGGTCTTGGTAATGGGCGAATTATGGCTCCATCTGAATCTCTGAAGTATCAAAAAAATTACTGAATTGAATCTGGCAGCCTTTCTGTGCAAGGAAACGTGGCATTTCTTGTTCTTTTGCTGCTATGATCTGGGGTAAGGCTGCACTTGATAGGCTCTTTATCAATGCAAGAGGCTGAAAAACCTGAAATTGACAATATATTCCGGATTAAGAAACTATTTAATGGAAGTGCAATTTGAGTAGTTTATTAATAATTCCTAATCTTTTATTATTTGTCTTTTTTGAACTTGTCAAACAAACAAAACAATGTTTAAAATATTTAATGAAAGCATAAAAGAAGATAAACGTGAGAAAAGATGATGATTCCAACATGAAATGTGCTTCTTAACTTTGTCACCCAAGGTGCAACTACAAGTAAATGGAACCTTCTCACACGGAACTTGGTGGGGGTTAACCACTGTCAGATTAATTTACCAAGCTCTGTGACCTGTTCAAAAGAATAACAGAATAACAACGCTTTCACAAAATGTTTCTTACCACAACCAGAACTTACTTGCTGGGATAGTAGCCACAGATTCTGATGAGCATGTTGAGGATCATGGTGGCCAGATCGCTCTCGTTCAAGACAGCAGCGCCTGAGGCCAGCAGTACCCACTTGAGCTGGGGGATCTGATGAAGGGCTTCCAGCCCTCCAGGCCCTGGGCCCAGCAGCGGGTCTTGGCTGAGATGGCACTTTCCTCCCATAGGTCCTTCATCTGTGACAGCAAAAAGGGGACTGGAAATTTGTTTTACATTTGCTATGCGCGGTGACTGCGGGGCAGCAACTTCCTTTCCATGGTGTCGAGCAGAGCATCACCCCATGGCAACCTGCTCTCTCATCCTGATAGTGGGGTCGTTAGTATGTTCAAAAACTAATCAAATGAATATTAATTAGGAATAGTCTGGTACTTGGCTATGTGTTAAAATAAACATTTACTTTTACATTCGGTGTCTGGTATAAAAACAGTCCCAGTGTCATTTTACATAGTATTATGAATTTTAAACCAGATTTTTAAGAAGGCACAAATATTAAAATTCTATCCAGCCAATTTTCAGTTTCATATTTCATTTGAACACAAAAAAAAATGTGAGAAAAGGAGGAAGTGCTACATGACTGTGAGTTCTCACCTGAGCAAAGCTGAAGGGACCAAGTCGTTCCCTCTCAACGTTGCCATAGTACCATTCCTTCTCGGTGCTAGCTTGGGAATCTGGGGCTGCCTCTATCACGTTGGTCTGAATTTGCCGCAAATAAAAAAACCATTACACACCTTGCACTGTTAGCTACTTCATTGTCTCCCAACATTGTTCTCTTCAGAGTGCACTGTTTCTGCATTTGTTACTTGAAATGCGTGGATGAGGGCAAATTCCTGCAAGTCAGGGGAATAATTATTTTCTTCCTTGTGAGATGGGTGTCTGAGTGGCTTTTAGACTTTCTACTTCAGCAACTTTAACCGTTTCAATTTCAGGCCATTTTAGGCAAATTTGAACACCCAATTTTCAAGCACTGGCCGAAACCCTACTTAAAATACACAAAAAGGTTGTTAGCAAACCCTTTCTACAAACTGCTAAGTGAGACAGCACAGTGGACCTCTGATGTCCTACAAGCAGTCGCAAACTGCTTTACTCCAAATTCCAAGGTTTTGCACGAGAGGACAGCAGCAGCTCCTCTAACACACAAATATCTTAGACTCAAAACGACCAACCTGGGTTGGAACTGTAGCCCTTGTGGTATGCAAGTGGGCTAATGTCAAGATGTCCACCAGGACTCGGATTCCATTAGCGTCGATGAGTTCCTTGACATTCCTCCTGTTGTAAAGAAGCTTATCAAGGAATAGCACCAGCCTGTCTCGCTCCTGCCTGTCTGTACACTGAACAATGTAATACAAAAATCCCAAGTTTGAGTAAAACTAGCCAATGCGGGGAGATAAGGAGAAACATGCCTCTCTCACAATCTCTGCGGCACACTGAGGAATTGCACTGAGCATTACTTGGTCAGCTGATGACTGTATGCATCTCAGACAGTCTTTGGTGACCTTTCTGCTACTTGGGGATTCTTGAAAAGAGTCGAGAACTCGCTCCAGCAGCTCACGTACTTCTGAAAAAAGAACTCACCCTTTCGAGCATCTGCACGATGTAGCGTGTGTCGTTGAAGTGGCCAATCTCGTCGTTACACCGGCCATAGACAATGGCCAGTGCGTGGAGACACATGCACTTCATGTGCATCTTGTTGGTGAGAAGGAATCTGTGGTATAGGTCGTTGAAGAATTCATACCTATATTGAGGAACAGGACAAAGGACGGATCAGCTGGAGGAGAGACTAGATGTAAGATATCAAACCTTTTCAACACAGCTTCAGCCCGAGTCAAAATCCCTTTTACAGTTTAGGAGCAGTTTGAAATATTGGTGTGGCTTTCTGCATGGAGGTAATTTATTTTTACTTCCTTAATTCAAAACTGAATTTTTCTTCACTTGTGTGTCTGACACTAGCAAAACTGGACATTCTTTAAAAAAATTTACAAAGTGGACATTTGGGAACAGCACCCTCTACACAATGATGAATAACACGCTGCATTGTGTGACTTGTATAAGTTTTTAAAGGTCATACTGATCAAGCAAAATAAATTCCATTAGAATTTGACACTCAAATGCAACTTTCTCTGGTGCTTTACTTGTCGTGGGCTCCAGAGACCAATCAGTGATTTTACTCAGCACAAAAAAATATGCTTAGGAAAAACAAGTTACCAGCCCAAGAGCAATGCGACATATATATTACCTGAGACAGGTTCCCTGCTCATTTTGGCTCAGCAAAAAAATGTGTTGAGAAACATTTTCCACTCAAATGCTCTCTGACATTGGGCCCTGTTGTTGATGCACAAATATTCAACCCAATGATAACATCTGAGAAAAACCCGTAAGTTGTCTGTCATGACACCAAATGAACCTCAATCACAGAATGACGTGACAGGGAATGTGGGATTTGAGGACAAGCTCTGTTGTCTTACGATCGTTTGATGGCACTAATCTCCTCATTGCTTTCATCCGCTTCCAGGAGCAACCGCAGGTAGTAGTCGCCGATCTTGATCTCTTCAGATAGGCACTCGTACTGCACCTCAAACTCCACATGGTTCCAGGATATTGTGTGGCCGCTGCTCAGCTCGCAGTCCGTACGGAAAGAGCGCATCTCATTCTCCAGGGCCTGTCGCAGCTCTTCCCTGGTCTGAGAACAAAAGTCCAGATTAGCCTTGACAACTGGATTTTTACAAATGAGAGTTTCAAAGAATGAACCACAGAAACTTTCATGGCAGTGATGTCATGTAATTAACATGACCAATGCAAGATCTGCGTAAATATTAAACAGACTTGGACAGGGAGTGACAATAATCAATGGTGATGTTACCTTGTAGTTCCATATAAGATTTGGTAGTGCATGATCCTGGTTGAACCTGTAAGGGAGAAAACAAAATTGCTAAGCATTTTTCCTAATTGTCTTTACATAAAAGATAAAATAAAAACCTACTTCTCAATGCGGTTAATGCTCCTGGTAATCAAGAAGCCATTACTGTAACTGCCAAACAAAGCTGTCAACAACACTTGAAAAGTACATTGTAATTTATTACTTTCATAGGATGACGGATTTGTGAATTTTTCCTTCTAATAGTCGCTAAATATTAATTTCTCTTAATCATAAATTGTATGACCTATGTTGTATTCTCCTTGCGGTGGCAGACCCAGTTCCAGCTGTCACTTCTTGCCTGACCTCCCCATACTATCATAAATATTCAAGTTCCATTCAAGTTTTCCTCGCATGTATTCCGCTACTTTGTAGCATGAAAACAATCCTGAACCTGAATCTAATTTCCTCTTTATATTTAGAACAATCTTTTTTTTTCTGCACAAAAATATTCCTCCTCATTGCCTCCCTCAAAGCCCCCTCCTATTTGTCCTACTTTGGTCGCACTTCCCCTCCATGGCTGAGTACATTCATCGCAATCGTCATTCACCAATTCCACCAACAAATTTCTAAGTCTTTTGAGAAATCATCAGAGAGTCGTCATGATTGCTCGTTCTCCACCATTTGTTGGCTAGTTCTCGGAATTACGGTTGCTGACAGGCCGTCTGATATGGCGGTTCATTGTTAGCTCCTAAGGGTCAGGAGGGCTTACTTGTAGTAGAAGAGATCCCAGTTATCTTCGCTCTTTATCCTCTGTCGCCGTTTCCTCAACACTATGGGTTTCTGTGGATAAAGAAACAAAAAGTCATTAAGAAATGGATCGCAGACAATAAGCCATTTGCGAGTTACATATGAATAAAATCTGGTACACTGAGTTATCTGATTGCACATAAACATAACGATTTGAATTCCCCAGACTAAAGACACTGTTGCTATACCTCGTGATTCGGGGCAAGCTCTCGCATAGTGACCACCATCTCTGGAATAGACTGGTTCCTCTGTGCCCTTCTTATCAGTTGAGAACAGCGTATTGTTGCAAGGCGTCTCTTATCATGCTTATGTATCTAAGCAAAAGCTTGCCCGGAATCACGAGGTATGACCAGGGTGGTTTTAGTATGGAGAATTCAAGTTGTTATGTTCACGTGAATATAAAGAACTCAGTGTACCAGATTTTGGTCAAAAGTTAATTCGCAAAAGGTTTATTCAGCATAATGGAGTGCATGACATAGTGGTCCATCAAGTCTAAGCATCACTAGAACTACATTTCTAGCCTTGACTAAAAAACTTCAGGCTAGTGGGTTTTTAATGTAAAATCTGTTTGCAAAAGTAGATGAGGTGATAGTCAACAGCTTTTAGATGGAAAGGGTAAGGTTTCTACGCATGATTTATATTCTGAATATTGCTGGGACCAATTTAGTTTTAAAATTGCTCAGCCAGTTTCGTGCTAATCGGCAGAGAGTGAGTCTCAAGTAAGATACTCAACATGGAATCTTGGTCTATTACCTCTCTCTGCTAAGCAAATATTTTCTGGGCTTAGCAGAAGTCTGTGTTTAGCAAATCTCAGAGTTACCTCCAAAAAATGAAAGCCAAATTCAATTACTTTCCCACAACTTTCCAGGACTAAAGTGTGACAATTTCCACGACATTTAACGCCATTTTGCAATACAAAATACAGCCTAAGAAACAGCCCAACAAAAGTAACCTTTGCCTGATCTTGATTTCCTCTGGCAAAAGGACTCAAGGACAACCTGTTTTTCCCCATATGCACCATGACTTTCCAAGGAAACTTTTACCCCTAGGGTTTGGAGGATTTTCCATGACCTTGGAAACCCTGAAATCCATGACATTGGCCCCAGGTGACAGCAACTGGAGACAGTATGGAGTTTTTATGACCTGCTTTAGAACTATGGAACTGCAATGTAACTTACCAACTCCGCCTAGTGTGATATGCCATGGATCATTAAGCATGGGATTATGGGTCGTTGAGATAGCATGAAAGGAAGAGAAGCAGAGTATAAGTATAAAAAAGAATTTGACGCGTTTGTCAAATGCCCGCCGTACGCAAATATAACATGGTTTGAGGGTGGATTGTTGAGTTATCAGAAACTGACATAACCAGTTGCCAAGGCAAAGTTGAGGGAACTAGTTTGGCAATTTCCAATACCGAGGGGAGCTAATATAAGACTATTACCCTGAGATAAACCATGCCATATTTGTTTTACCATACCTCCCACATATTCAGTTTGCCATTCTTAATCCAGGGGCAAGGGAAAGGCAGCACGACCATGCATTTGTGTGTGTAAAGCTCGCGCAGTTCAAACAGGCCACAGTTCCAGGGAACTGTTCCGGGAGTAATTTAGTACACTAGCATATTTGACTTGTACACGGTATCCTCATGTGCACCAGGTACAAACAGCAAAAACAGCCACTAGCACACGGTGATGCATGGACCAGCGACAATTTGGCTCTTGAGCATGAATATGCATGAGGCACGGTCGAAAACGACACAAACTACAAGGAAATGGATTCTGGAAACACATGCACTTTAATATTCAACCCAATAACTGCACGCATTTGCCCAAAGCAAATCTGCACGAGACCCAGTGACTGCAAATTATGCAACATGCAAGCAAAAAAGGTTTTATGATGGGAGCCAGCACACGGCAAAATAAAAATGACACATGATGACACGCAAGTCCTCCCAACCAGCTGATACACGCTCAACAGGCTTCAGGTGCCGCTGAGCTGTAGCTGAGCCCATCATAAGTCCTCATAAGTCCCTGCAAGTCCACCATAAGACCATCGCAAGTCATTCAGTCTTTAGTCAAGTCACAAACTATTCAAACGACTCATGACACAGATGTATTCCTTTGCCGTTGTTCACTCTGTTACTTTCTCATTGATTTTGTGGCTGGACTCGAGACAGGACTAATGAATGGCTTGACTACAGCCCTGGCTTCAATTCAACCAACTCCTTAAATCACACATCATTTGAAGTCATTACTCTTTTCAGATTCCTAGAAATAAATGATTAAGTTTGGAGGCAATTTCCTTGGCCTTTCTCAGTAGACGGTCATCTTCAAAAATTCCGTCTGTAACAGGTCACGCTTACATAGTGCCATCTACAAATAGAACTTCACTTGATTGCGCCAACTGGTCCAAACCATCCTTTACCAAAAACCCCCAAAAGTCCTAGTTTAATAAGCTCTTCATGTGCACCACTGCAGTAACCCACAAACTGGCCCCAAGCATCCCTGACACAGCATGGTCATGGTAACCTACATCTTGTTTCTTCCTCTCCTTGGTGATACGTTGCTTCCAGTGAAGGAGCATGCCCTCGATCTGATGCCACTGGAGATGGCGGTTACTCTTGCCGAATTGGTCCTGCAACAAAATCAAAGCAACATATTTTATCTTTAGCCAAGTCAGGTTTCGGGATTAGTTCTGCCTTGAAACTCTCCCAAGAGGTCACCGGGTAAATATTTTGCAAAGGTTTTTTGTGACGCTATCCCACAAAACAGGTATGGCAAGTTGCGTGTGATTTTTATTTCAGTTTTTCATCAATATTTGGTTTGCAAAACATTTTTCAAATAAACGTCTGACCACACCCAAATCTTATTTCTCAAGCCCGGTCTATGTCTTTGACGGGTTGCATATGTGTGGACACACGTTGACAACAGAGGTTACTGTAGCTCTAGAATCTGGATGTCTGTGTCGGCCATGTGCTCACCTGAGCCATCTTGACATTGTCTCTCATGTGGATCAGGTCTCTTTCCTTCTCCGGTACTTTATCCTCAGAGTCAAGGAAAGCCAGGAGACCGGCGGGCTGCCATCAAGCAGAAAAGATACGATAAGAACAGAGTCTGATGAAAAGTGACCAAGGGGTGGGTCCATATAGAATTGAGGTCAGCTACCATGATATGGAGAACCTACATCTTGTTCAATATGTCTACTTAATGGATTCAGAGTGAACACTGGTAATTAACCTGCATTTGACAATGAAGGATGTATAACTTAGCGTCTATTGCCTCAATTTATATGGTGATAAGAAAACAATTATGTATACTGAATACTGTCATACTTTTTGTGGCTCGTGTAATTCTATTACTATGAATAGGTCATGATTTGGCCAAACAGTGGCTATTAAATGAAAGCTGTTCAACTTTGCTGCAATACACACATCGTTACAAACTATCCATAACATAAGTTACAATGTGAGTGCAGGCTCAACCTTTCGAGAAAAGTTCTATTTTCGATCATCCTTTTTCACATTACAACATCTCACTGCCACTGGACAATTCTCGTTGTCATCAGTGTGTAAACCAAGTCATTAGTGAACAATCTTACCAGGATGCGTTTTAGCAGTCCAAGTGCCGTTGGGTTGCCGGTAATCCACAATGCAACAAGATGGCGACTTAACTGCCTGTAAAAGTAAGCAATAAAGAACACCTGGCTCAAAGGGAAGCCCCATGCTTTCAAAATATAGAGAAAGTCTCAGAGATACAACTGGTACAGTTATGTCCCCGAGATCAGTGTCGTATTCGAGTCCATCACAAGTCCCTGTCATTCCATCACAAGTCAGTCAGTCTTAAGCCAATTCACAAGCTATTCAAATGAGCTGTGACATAAGCATTCTTTTGTCACTGTTCACCCTGTTACTTATGACTGGCTTTGTGACTGGACTTGTGAAGGGACTTGTGAAAGGATTTGTGATGGACGTGAATACAGCAATGCCTGAGATACAATATGCTGGCTGCAGATCACACAAAAGCTCTTCAGGAGGAAGCGATACTCTACAGACAAACAGTCTTTTTAAGTCAAAACAACTTTCCAGCAAGCACAATGTGTAATTTGTAGTGCTCTGGGTTGACGCGTCAGTTCTTAATTTTTGGAATAATCAAAGCCGGGTTTGTGTTTTCATCTAAAATGGAAACTGAGGCGACTTCTTGTAAGGTTCAACAAGCATATTAGACTGAGGTTTTTTGGCCGCTGCTTATTAAAATGCAAAGTGTACAGTGGCTTGTACAACAACATCCTCTGACGAGCAGTTCTCTTATGCAGACCTGTTTGTCAGCATTCGTGTGTCTGAACTGGATGTAAACATTGCGACATGCAGGTGTCTTGGGAGGGCGCCCTCTGCCAGAGCAAGCTCCTGCATCTTAGCTGCAATCTCAGCATCTCCCTCCTACAGACACACATTGAAACAAAATTGCTGAGTCGGTGAAAACGCAATATAAAAAAACTACTTTTCGGGAACAAACAGGCGGAAAAAAGTCCTTCAAACAATTTAAGCCAACCCTAACATGGGGGGGTGGAAATACTTGTCATCAGGTCAAAGTGGAACACACAATTCTTTGCTTTGTAAATTATTAAAATGTGGTTGTGTTCTTAGTGATAAAGAAATCCTACCTCAATGATTGCTTTCATGACCAGTCCTGCTCCTTTCACCACAGTCATGGATGGATGCTGCCAAAGAAAAGTGAAAAATGTTTTAACCCATGTATTTTGAGCACCAGGGTTTTTCGGCCAGTCAGGAAGAATTGCCAAGAGTTTCCCGTGCCTCCTCAAATGTGAGGTAGTTTGCCTTTTGGTGGCTGAAATTCAGTGTTTCATCTGGCCACCAAGCCAACTATCCTGACTAAAGGCAAAAATTACGAAGCTACCAAGGACAGGTAAAAATTACCGAGGACAGGCAAAAATTATTCAGGGAGGGCAAATATGACTGAGGACGGCAAACATTATTCAGGGAAGGCAAGTTTTGCTTGTAAAAACATAACACACCCAATGCACTTTCCAAATCTTTAACACGGGTGGAATAAATCATTATATTTCCATTCATTGGTTACAATGGAAACACTGGCTCAATTAGCACCAAAGGGGTAACAGTTTCACAAATTTTGCTGTGAATGGACAGGTAATTTTAACATGGCCTGAGAAATGACAGGCAGATATTTTCATTCGAGAGAAAACCCTGTGATCATCTTGTGCACCACAGAATTGATTTAGCGGAAACTCAGGCTGAAGTCCAAACGCAGTTACGACACAGGAAGATGGCGAAGGCGAATGACACAAAATGGACATCATTCTCAGCTGGCAAATAAAAAAGGTATCAGGGGAGTGGGCAAGGCATATCCGACTGGTGAGCAGTACCTGGAATAACCTGAAGAGCACCCTTCCTTGCTCAGCTACCAACTCAAGCAACGAGTCAAAGAGGGTACCATCTGTGGTCTCGCTGTAGGGGGCACACAGGGCAAAGGTCAGAAAGTCCAGGAGGGAGGTGATGACCAGGGCACCGGTCCCCCGATTCTGCAAGAGAAAAACCAGACAAACCACTGAGACGAAGCTTAACCTGATTCAACACAGGAAAAAAAGATGAACAGTTTGGCATCCTTTTTGAAAGGAATAGTTCACTGCTGCCTGCCTGTTTATAATGTTGATTCACTGATGACACCTTGTTCAATTCTGCAAATCGTCTACAAACATTTAAATTTTTACCAGAAAATGCATTTACAGATTTCAATGACTTGACATCAGGTGTATTTCGCAAAGCGTCCGCATGCACAGGATTTTACTTTTGTTCGGAAAAAAAAAAAGATTTCTGAAAAAAACGAGACATAACGGCCAAATTCAGTCACATCAAACACCCTTATACTGATTCTTGGCAGCCATTTGAAAATGTTCGTATGAGGCTCTGACTACCAAACGATGAACATTCATGAGTGCCATGAATATTGTGCCATGCTTAAAGTGTTGGAATAAATCACCAAATGGAGGGCCTATGTAAGACACTGCAATTTCCTTTCAACACCTACCACATGTAAGCTAAAGAGTTCCAGCAGACTGCTCAGGAACTTTTTAGAGGACAGAAGAGAGGACTTGTTGAGTTGTTCCTGTCTAAGGTCGTAATCGTCATGCATTGGCTTCGGAGAAAACAAAAAGCACCACAGCGAATGAACACCTTTGTCAACGTTGAGCATTCCTGCGGCAAACCTTAATTTAATGCTCAAAGCTCTTGTGAGGCTTCTACTCAAATTTGTTTTGAAGCGAACAGTAAATCAAACAATGAATACTAAAGTCCTCTGGCCATCTCGGTAACAAGACTGCAGTTCAGCATGATTTTTATTGTGCTTTCCTTGCCAGGAAAGTAACTTTCATCTTAAGGTAGTGTATTTGGCCAACACAAATGTCACTGTTAGATTAGCTTTACCAAAGTTTCTGTCATCTGACCTTAAGCACATGCCAGCTGAATGCCCCAAAGAAGGCCTACGAAGGTTAGAGCAGGATGGGTATGGTGCAATCTTGATTCAAACAATAACTACTGGGAGAGCAGTCGTCTGGAGGCATGCCCTACCTGCATCAAGGCACACAACATATCAATGGCTGCATGGATGACAAAATCATCCTGTCTCTTCAAAACCTTGATGATCTTTAGCCCCACTCGCTCACGGAACCTTGGACCAAGAAGAGGAAACACGAGTGAAATCCTCAATCAATCAAATCATCACACAAATCACACATAAAATGCCCTGAAAATAAATAAATATTACCAAACAGTGCTATTCATGAATGTACAAAAGCCACAAGAACACCACACTGTCCAAAAAAAAGGTAGTTAAATTTCATGGTCTACAGAAAATTTTTTTTTTATTATATACTTGAAGATCACAAAGTAACACGAGCACAGTACCATGAAATATTGATTCAAACTTTGATAATGCTGGCTTAATAAAATGAAATGCAGAATAAAATTTCCTTGTCCGAAAATGGTCTACACCATCCTAGTGGGATCTGAAGGCGTGCGCCATTAATAGTCTGAAAGTTTGTTTTTTTTCAGAAGTATTATATCCACTCAAGTTTGTTTTATTATAATGACACCCATGCTTACTTTGGCAATGACGTGAAGGCCATAAAGCCGGCCTTGGAGGCCACTAATCTCCGCAAGGCTTGGAAAATAGCCTCCAACTCCTCAGCTGGCATCGTCAGTGGGTCGTCTGCAACATGAAAAACAATGGGTTTTCAGAAAAAAATCCCCAAAACAGAAGAATTTGCTTTATAATGTTTAAAACTTGTATTTCAACGGAGAGACTGGAAAAAAAAGAATATTTAATCGCAGCGGAATTCAAACGTAACCAATTGCACGCTGCATCTAAGCTGTACCCAGAGACCTCTTAGCAAATTCCTTGACTGCTGCTGAAGACTGTTTAATGCAAATTCAATCTAACTCATCACTTATCTACCTTCCCTTGCCAGGATGGCTGTGATGGCTCCCCTGATCAATTTCTCTTTGTTTTCTGCAAAGAAACTCTGCAAATAGGAACAGAACACGAGTTACAAATCACACAGCAAGGCCAATTGAACAACGATGGGAGAAACCATGGAGCTTGGAGGTTGTTGCCTACCCTTGTTTACACTTGATGATTTTAGGTCAAATCTTAGTCTGGAGTACAAGCAAGTCATAGCTATCCTTTCCAAAAGGAACGTTGTACATGTGACAAAATGAGTGACTACTCACCAAGGCCACTTTGGAGTTAAAGGCCTCCACAATAATTCTGCACAGAGTGAATCAATATGAACCCTCAATCAATTTTTCATCCACAGTCGTAACCAACTGCTAATGAAATATGTACATAACTGCATAATCTTCAACATGCAGTCTGTGCTAACGGTCAGTGTTCCTGGAAAGCAGAACACGTCCTTGTGAGCCGAGCATGATGACTGTGGCACTGGGGTACCCTCACTTTACTCTGTCAGCTTTCGAACAGAACAGGACCAATGCAAGTACAACACTAGTAAATACGGGCGATTCACAATTGTGCACCTCCAAGGGTTTGAAACTCGTTAGCTTATCACAAGGCTTGGAATCCGTCAACCCTTTCCAAACACGTACTGGGTCGACGGGTCATTGATCAATGCGTTGCAAACCCTTGGAGGCGCTCTATTCTGAAACGCCCGTATTGTAAAGAGACAATGGCTGAGCAAGATTATTCTCAGGTTTGACACTTACATCCTGTGTAACGGCATGGAGTAAGCCACTGTATGACACGTTGTTGTTGAACCTCATTACAGCAAGGTTGAAGTCATTGTCTACGGAAACAGACATTAACATGAACTGTTAAGCCTTTTAATAAATAAATCTGAAAGGGTAAAAATATTCTGCATACACCATTCCAAGAGGAATTATGAGTTAACATTAAACATTTGTGATTGACAGAATTTGACAAATGAGGAGTAAATCAGATTTGATAAAATGGTCTTGTTGACCACTCATTGTTGGACGAAATTTCAGTTCTGGTCGAGTCAAATTTCTTCGGGCTTGGAAGCTAAAATGACAGAAGTTATCACAGAAAAAATTACCAAACGACAAGATTGCATAAAGGGACAAGGATTGCAAATTTACGAACACTACAAAGAAAAAGTAAATTGCATGGAGAGGTTGACTCAGTTGAACCACTGTGTGGGGCTAGTGCATCCATGCAAATAAGGCAAGGTCAATGAACCGTCAACATTTCATAGTGCCTTCATGGGAGGGGCCGATGGCAGGCCCAAAATAATGTTAAAGCACCGTCTGATTTAGGAGTTGAAGGCAGCCACATTGGGCTACAAAAAACACTCTCCCCTGCACAAAGAAACCCCCCCATAAAAAAACCCAAAAGCCTGGATGCCGTGTCACGTAATAAAGTTCTCAAAACTAAGTGTCTCCAAAAGGCCTTTAAAAATTCCTGAGCTGACAGGGTCCTCCAGCAGTACAAAGGTACACTATACTTAACTCTTGCTGGGTTCCTGCACCTAAAGGACAATTCAATTCCAAGACTTTTCCATGACTTTAATTATTTTTACAAAATTCCATGATTTTTCCAGGTCACGGAAGCCCTGTCTTGGGGAAACCCTCTGTGAAAATTTGTTAGAGATGCTGGTGTGTTCAAACGTGTCACATGTCTCGGTGCGTCATTGCTGAGGAGGACACTCACACACACAGTGTCTGTTACTTACTGGGCGGTTGAGCCAGGAAGCGCAAGCAATGGGCCTCCACTTCCTCCTCAACAGGGACAAACAAGGGGTCCTGCCTCTGGCCTCGGTTGGTCATGACGAGCTTGATGCAGACGTCTCGGTTACCGCTTGCACGGACGCCGTCCAGCACACTGGCTATTAGATTATCCCTGATGATTAAACAAAATATACTTGTTTGACCAAAATGCAATATCGGTGTTGTTGAGCAACATGAAAAGGACAGTTTGTGGGTGATGCATCAAGGTAATGGAGATGCATGCTGGACTACAGAACTCTGCTACTGTTGCCAACATTGACAATGATATTCAAAATTTGTTTGGCAGTAGAATGTAATGGGCCTGTGGGTTACTGTCGCAGAGGTGGATTTGGGCAAATTTTTAAAGATTCCCCAAACGATCAGCATGTTAGTGCCAGGATTTCAATTCAATAAGTTATGTTCTAAAGTACTCTTTGTCAGATTCACTATGAGGTCGCACAATAACTTTGCCCTATCATAATAGGGTTGCTCTGCATTGATTTAATTGGTGCTGGCACTCTGCCAACTGGCATTTTAGTTGTTCCTGGACACAGGGTCAACAAGCAGGTTTTTAGGAAAGTTGAAGCAAAGTGATAAGACAGTCACCTACCTATCGGTGGAGGTGTACTTGGTCACCATGCCTTTGACCGACTCTAGATGGAACTCCTGAGGATTCTCCATGCTACGCACGATTGCAAAAATCTGCCAAAACAATGTACGTCCTCTTGTAACAATTTCAATATTGACCTAATTCAATGCATGACTAGTAACTTGCATTATGACAGCATTGAACTTCTTGTGTGAAAAAAAACCCAGCAAAACATGAAGTGTCATAAGGCTATTCCGTATCAAGAAAGAGCAAACTTCAGCAGTGTCACAGTTGGCACATTATTATGTTTAATTGTGCCTGAGAAATGCAACCCAAACATCCGAGGGATTTCTCCTCGCTCGGAATTGGCATAAGAATGATTCTTCCTGATTGTTAGGTTTCGCCGCTCAACTCACATTGCAGAGTGGTTTGACAGTGACCACGCTGTAGCTGGCAGGGTCTCGCTCCACGATGCATGTCTCTGTCAAGCACAGGACCCTCTTGGCGGGCTCCTCGTGCCTGCTGGACCACTTCTGAACGTTGAACTCGGCCAGTGATGTCAGGCTCTCGTCATTGCTGTAAAGCGCAAATAACAGAAGAGAAACCCAAATCCCTTTCAGACAAAGTTATCGCATCAAAGATACCACCACTGGTGACAATGTCTCAACTGTGACCGTTTGCATAATTTGGTCCTCTGCTTATTGCACTGTCAACTTTGGCCAACTCATAGGCTGCATCCGAATCTCTCGTCTAGAGCTAGGTCTAGGTCTTCCCTCCATTGGAAATGCGTGGAGACGCGTAGACAGTAGACCTAGCCGTAGCTCTGGAAGCCTGTTTCGGACACGGCCATAGTTATAAAACATTGCACATTGTGTTTAACCTTTCTTTAAACACATCGGCATTCCTCACCTGTACTTTCCCATCTTATTGATGATGCTCTGATCGATGGTGATGGTTTCTTTCCTCTTTCTGATTGTCACACCGACGTAGGTACTCGCGTACTCTGAGGCCTTCTTTATCAACTCATCTCTCCGATCGCAAGCAAATATATGCTGCAAAGAAATGCACAAGGGGGGGCAGAATATTTCAGAGAGAGGACAATTCCGGAACAAGTGTCACTACGAATCTTTCGGTATCTATCTTAGAAAAATGTAAAAAAAATTTCTCTAAAGATTTGTCAGAATGACTTACTAATCTGCCGAAGCCACCATGAATCACTGCAAAGCCTCCTGGGTAGCCAGTCACCTGCAAGAAGAAATGAAGTTGTGCCAATCAGCAACAGTGGGTTTGGTAAACAATTATCCATATGTAAAAAAACGTTGGGAGAACAGTTGCCAGTTCAACTTAAATTTCATTTCTGAAGCAGACAAGCAAATGAATGTATAATTATTAACACCAACAAACTCCCTGCCAACTATGTGTGAAGTTGGCTGAATTCAGCAGACTTGAACAGGTTAGAAATCAGGAGAAAATGTTCCCTGCTCAGAAGATAAGAGACAAATCAAATTCTGCTGGTCTTGACGGTTAAAAAAGGCAAAAAAAAAAATAAGTTACTCAGCCACTGTAAATGGTCAGACAGCAGCAATCTGCCTACCTCTGTGAATGCTTCAATGTCCCTGTAGTAGTAAGAGCAGAGGACTTGGTTGTTGGTAGGATTGATTTGGTCAATTCCACAGGCGTTGATCTCTAGGGTGACATGCTTGCGTGCATCTGACCAGTGGTGCTTGTAGGCATTGAATCGCTACAGGGAAACAATGGAAGGAGTTCAGTTGGTGTCATGGTTCCAAAGGGGTGCATGAAAAACCTAACCATGGCAGCTGCATTTACTTGTACCAATAATTTTCAGTAACATTTACGCTAGAAAAATACTCCAAGGGTCAAGCGTGAACACTTTCAAGCAATCTGTGACGCTAAAATGTAAGTAAGAGCTTGGTTTTTTACAGGTGCCTGGTATCAGTTGACCTCTTCTTACAGCACAGACATGAGGAATCACTTGATTTCTTCCCATTCAATCCTTGATCATTTTATTATTTCAAATAGCCTCCAGCTAAGAAAAAAAGACAATTTACAAGACCTGGCAAATCTACCCTCATTTTTCTAAATGGGAACTTTATAGTGAAAAAAGTACCTTTAGTGTTGTTAGTTTTGTCTTCAGCCCTTTGATGACAAATGCCTCATGAACATGCCTCTCAGTGTATAAAACTGAATACTTACTGGTTCGTCATACTTGTTGCCACCAGCAAAGCTCCGGCGGAACTTCTGCAGAGTGGAAAAGAAGATGATATGCGATGTCAGTATGAACCTATCAAGCACAATTTATACATGTAGTTAGTTCTTCGTGTGTTAAGGCACCTCTGTGGCTGGGTTGAGGAAATCAAAATTAAGGCCATTTAAGACTTCTTTACCTTTTTTACCCAATTTTCAGTGGCACAAATGGGGATCGGAACATAACAATTAGCAAGAGCAGCAGATCAGTGGCGAACCTGCCCAACTGCTTGTCTGTCCAATGCATTTTTGTCGGATATTGTTTATTTTGAAATGTGACGAGGGAATTTGAGTTAATGTGAAAAATTTCGTTGAGACAACAAAGAAAAATCACATGTGTTCTGACCTCATCAGCACTTACTGCGCCATATACATGTATCAAGACAATATGAGCTTAGGCAGGGTGTCAAAGTCTTTCCCTTATTTAAAACACTACTGCACAATATTAGTCTTTGGAAAGAAAGGCTGTCGGTGCCTAGAACTCTCCCAATTTAATGTCTCCTGCACTTCAAAAGTGCCCACTTTTGCTTGGACAAACGAGGTGAAGGGTCCAATTTCACAGAGGAAGGAGCAGAAGATACCACCAAGTGAATGTACTTGCTAGGCAATGTGATCGGAAACCACTGTTTCCTTCAAACAAACTTACAGAAGCTTCGACTGGCTTATTGGTTGGCTGAAAGGAAAGTTCCCCAACATGAAGAAAACTTGATTTGGAAACTAACCAAAGCTTCTGTGAGAACGTCGGGACGGTGCTCTGTGGAAAACCGCATGGATTCTGTCTTCTTGCCTTTCCTGATGTTGATGACAAACTCATTGATGGTTTGAGATTTGGTGTTGGGGGCGATACCAAAAAAATCTGCATATGCCCACTGCAGAAAGAACAACAATAAATCCAATTGTCTACTTTCAGCTTCGCATTCCATACACAAGTATTAAATTGTTCCCGACAGAATCCAGGGGTAGATTGAGCCAAACAAATAATTTAAAACATCAATCCAGATTGCATGATTTCACAGGACACAATTCATCAGATTTCATGTATCCTATACTCTCAATATTTTCCCTCGATAATTTGACATATAATTGTCTGGGCAATTCCCAGCAGTCCTAGGGACCATGACTAAACTGACAAAAGTTTTATATTCACACATAAAACGTGCCACTACAGAACCACTGAAGCACTATGTCTATAGATCCACATGAACAAATTACATTTAAATACCGTACTTGTTGGTAAGTAAGACCTTTAAAGCCAAACTGATTGAAAGCTTAATTCTGGGTGTCAAATACATGTAAATACTCAGTCTACAATTTTTCTTCAACACTGCAAGTAACAGGTACACGTATACAGAAAAAAAGAAAACACTTCCTTCACTCTTCCTGGAACATACATGATGTATCTTGGTTCTGCATGAATTTGCTCTTGGACAGTTTTGGTACGAGGTATGTGCAACAAACATCTGTGAAAAACAGCAATATTTATTCCTTGAAACAAGAAAAAACAGCCCCATTCCAATTTTTTCACTGTACTGACTCTTCTGCCCCAGAATACACTCTGTTTTGCCTCTCTGAGTTCTGACAAATTTTCTGTCTATTAAGGTTTTGCTGGGACCAACAGCTGTCCTGTACTTCTAGCAAACATGCACGTGAGCCAAGCCATCAAATTTGCAAGACAATAGGTCCAACAATTTTAACACAACTGGCAGTTCACTGCTGTGGCTATAGATTTATGTTTCACAAAAGATGTGAGCAAATGAAATACAAACACTGTACAGTTTGTTCAATGTAAATATCAAAATGAAACTTTCGTGTACATGTAATGAACAGTGAAACTGGAAAAAGGTAGATGCTATGTCATTTTGTAATCTAAATAGGAGACAGGTAAAAAACAAATGATTTCCTGAAAATGTGTGCCAACAAAATGACAAATTCAACTACTTAAATTTCTCAACGTAGCTATTACTTGTTAAAAACTAAACTTATCAAATACGGAAGCAATGCAAGGTGAAAACTAGTAATGTTCACAGCAATACTCAATAAACAAGCTCAAACAAATATCGTAAAGCAATGGATCAATTTGTCACCGGTGAGGGTGTGCTTCTCCACAGAGTGGATAGAACTCAAAATCCTTTGAAAGAGTTTGCTTGGTTTTGATGGGACAACATGTAGGACTACTATTACACAGAATTGGATGTCCCTATTTTGCAACAATACAGCCATGTTCCTATCAAATTATTTTGGGTAAAACTAATGCAGCTAAGCAATAACTTACAAAATTAAGACCACTCGGAATGCACAGGAAACTGACATTCCTGTTAGTCTTGCTGTCGGCAACTTAGGGCCATAAGCGGTTGCAGAAACTTTCCATGCAGCCCTGGTACAGGCCCCGATTGACAGCTACATGTAAATCTCTTTAAAACTTGCTTGAGTGCACTGTCACACACATGTATCTCACATGAAGAACAATTCCCTTGACCCCTTTGTGTGTACATGTGCATATACGGTACATATGTACATATGTGCAATAACATCAATATTACGCATCAAGGCAGTTTTGTCTTCTGCTGCAAAATTATTACAGAAAATTCACCTGAGGTGGTGAAGAAAATGACCAGGTTTGGTGCCAGTTAACACCAGATTTAGTGGCATGGAGGAAACAGAGACAGTGTGGGTCATATAACATAACCACTCTGCGCAGCACAGTAGCTTACAGTGCGCAAGGGTTGCACCTCGGACAACAGCACTATGCAAAATTTGGCAATCTAAATGAACGTTAAAAGAGAGTCCTGGTAAGTTTCCATGACAGCATTTAAGGGAAGGTCCAATGGGAAGACAGTTTAAGCTGCATTGTGTAAATGTTGGATGAAGCAGGTTTAGAAAACTGGTTTTGATTTTGCCTAAGAAATATGCTGTGGAAGGACTACAGTAAGGACATGTACCTATAGGTGTGGATGCACATGTTCTGACAGGATGTACAAGTTTAAAATGACTGCTTGTATTAAGTTCACCACCTGTGTGGTTTTCAGAAAGTTACTGAAGAGATGTGAAATAGCTGTACTTCGTGCCCAAAAAAACTAATGGCATTAAATTGTTAGAATTTTTATCTCTGATTTGGGCTGGTATCTCTTGCACGTTTCAATCCTATTTGATTTTTGATTAAGCTATTTATCTGCCATGTCGATGGTAAAGGACGCAGCCCAACAGGAAGATGAGGATGCCAATAATGGATTAGTAAGGGTGGATGGAGACCATCAGATGCTCCCCAGAACGGCATCGGGTAAAGTCAATCTTTCACATTACTACTAATTATAGTCTGAGAAGAAGTTTCTCAATGCTGACTCTTACCTGGTTGGTGATTTCTAGTGTGTTAGGATTGTAGGTAGTAACGCCTTTGTCCCCAACTGAAAACACCCGCTTGTACCTTTTGAACGGGAAAGAAAAATTGTCAGTACTAAGATGTATAATCACAAATATTGCCAGCTTGGAACATAAGTACAGCATTCTCACAATGCAATAGTTTTTAGTGGTACTGGTGACAATGAATTTGTAAGAACATGTGTGGACTGTGAACATGGAAATTAAAGTTTTCAACTTTTTCATTCCTGTATAACCTGGACATATCAATGGTTACATAAATATTTAACAAATTAACGCAGTCTGATCCAGCAAATTCATCTTTTAGCAGCATGGTGGATAGAATAGGAGAGCACTTCTGAAGTGGGTAAATTTGGAATAAACACAAAATATTTTACCCAACCAAATAGCGCCCTCCTATTATGTCCGCCACACCTTAAATAGGCTAATGGGATGCCCTCCACTGCAAGTGAGCAGGTCATGAATTTAACTGTTAGACATGGCAGGCAAAATCTACACCTCGGGGGGGCTGGGATGGAGTGTAGGGATTGTTCTGATCCCTAAGTCAACAGACAAAAGTTAAACCTCTGGAGAGGACTTGAAGTAAAAAATCCTCACACTGTACATTGTCTGAAGTTGGATTTTGGGCACCCATAAAATACATCTATCATATTGAACAGACTGGTGAATTTACGTGTGCAATACTTCCTTTAAGCCACAAAGCCATAATTCTCAACTTACTTTCCCCTCCATGAGTGCTTTGTTGTGTAGTAGCTCGCTGTGTCTTTATTCTCTCTCATCACCACTGCCATTTTGAAAGTGCTAAAATATAACAATGAAAGACAGGAAATCAGAGTCTGACAAGCAAAATTAGCCTGGTATATCACTCTTTTTTTTAAGATGGGCCATTACTGGAGGCATGACTTTGGTAAAAGCTTAAAAATCACTGAGATTTACTTTACAAGGTTCTTTGAAATCCTAATCCCTCTAGGCTTTTGTACTTTGACAGTGCTGAGCCAAACAAAGATCAACAGATACAACTTGTATCTACATGTACCAGAGGGTCACTGTAATTTCTGACACCTGACTGGACAGAGTCTATTAAACTCCAACAGGTCAAGTTTGAATCATTTGGTATGGAGAGGTCTCCGTAGTGTACAAGTGACTTGCAGAATAGTACAAAACCTGACAAAAAGGCCAAATAACTTCCTTTTTAATGTTTTAAATCAAATTTCAATTTAAACTGCAGGTTATTTAAATTTCCTTTCAACAACTTTATATCCTACCTCCTATCTACCCCGCGGAGGAACAAAAGAGGGCGTGTTTTGAAATGAAATTGACAGTCCTTTGGTACTCGCGCTCTGCATAGTTGCGCAAGTTTATGTGCGTTTGATGTGGAGCACACAGAGAACGCGCAACAATTTTAGTCTAGAATGTGTGGTCTTCGCGTGCATGCCAAAAGCATGCTAGTACCCGGTTGGAGAACTCAGTACCATCTGTCTTTCTTTCACCGGTGAGGGTGCACTTCAGCTCAGGGTGGATACTGAACTAGGTAAGAGTTTCATACAGACGCCACTTGACGCCCTGTGTACATACCCTACCCCAAGTGTTTTCATTATAAACGACTTGGTATTTTCCCTCCTAAATTGAACTTTTCTTGACATGTTTTTGCTTTCTGACGGCTAATACATGTTGGTCACTGTAGGGAACAATTACAGAACAATTAAATACCCTGCCACACAAAAATACACCTCTGAAATCACTGGCTACATGGGCAAGATGTGAGAAGTGAGGAGGAGGGCAGCCAGTACAAGTCAATGGATATTAAAGGGCAAAAAAGGCTAAGTCCAAAGGAAGTCTTGGGTTGGCGGCCACGCGGACACAAGGTCAGAATTGAGGAGAGAAAGATAGCAAGACAAAGGTATTTTTTTGTACATGAACCTGTGGGCTTGACTGACATGAACAAGGAGACCAGTCTGCAATGAATGAATCTCGTACTTTATTTCCCTTTTTAAAAAAATCCTCCAGGGGTACGAATCTATCCAAAACGAAAGGGAAGAAGGCCGGCAAGTGCAAAAAATCAATGGGAATTGGGCAGCGCCCAAAGTCAATGGGAATTGCGAAGAGGCAAAAAATTCTAAGTTCAAGGGTTGAAGTCTTGGGTTGGTGGCTATGCGGATACGTCAGAATTCCGCGTGCAACAATTAAGCATGACCTTTGACTTTGTAGCCAGCAACGAAATGGAACGGGTGAGTGGCGGGGTATTCTGCAAATGTGCCGGCAGGGAATAACTTTCAGCAAAAAATCTGCTATACAAAATTATTTTGGATGAACTAGAAAAGCAATTTTTTTCATTTAATTGCACTACAAATTTACAGCACACAATTACAACATGAACCTATACTAGGTGGGTGTTCTCACATTAGTCGTTACATGGATACAGCTGGTGTGAAAGTTGAGACTGATTAGTAGCACAAGACCCATTCATGTAAGTATTCTTTCCTTCACTAATTGTGCTATGGAGAAGGGTCATTCCATGTCACACCAGCACACTTTTTGACCTAAGGTATTCAAATTTGGATAAAAATTGCTGTGCTTGTAGACATCAATGAATAATAGATACTTGCTAATTGTTAGCAGAATCCACCCTTCCATGTGCTCAGGGCAGAAATCAACAAAAGTGGACAGTTTTCACTTTAATAATCCACCCTTTTAGTAAAAATGAAACATAACCCAACCCTCTCATTTCATTTATTGAATATATGCAAATGTGGTATCAAAATAATCAAATTCTGAGGAATACGCCGATGTAAGTAAAATCGTTGAGTCATTCTCATTTCGGAAGCTATTAGGATTCAAAGTTTGTGACAATCCTGCAGTTTGGATTTCAGGCTTTTAAGACATGCCTTGAAGTAAGACTGTGGTGGCAACAAACAAGAGACAGATTGTAAAAGAGAGCCACCATAGCCCTACGTGTGGGGCTAGGTGCTAAAGTAGCCTAGGCTGGACGTTGACTTCATTTCATTACGACTGACGTCCAGGGTCTAAGACTTGTGTACAAAATGACTACAAATTTGGTTCTAATTTGTTCTTGGTTTACCTTGTTGAAGAAACTAATTTTTCATGTTTACAAGTTCTTCCTGGCCTTATCTTTCTGTCTGGGGGGGGTTCAGGAATTTCAGAACGAACCATGGACTACAAAATGGAGGAAAATAAGTGAGAGACAACGTTACATTTGTAGACGTAATTCATCCGTTCTCAAGTTGTAAATTGCACGCACGTACAGGAATCCGAGCTGTATGCACGCACTACCTGTGCGCGATTCCCAGTGAAGGTCTGTTACATGCCTGCTACATGGAGGCCGTGACTGGTACCCGGCTTTAACCCGCCTGCCGATATAAGAAAAATGCAGTTCCATTTTTGTCGGATTGGGGGCTTCAGACTGACCAATTAACCCTATATTGGTAACCCCTAAAATGTTCATATTTTTCTGCTATATATTTCGCGTTATGAACATAAATTTGCAACTCAACCTGCTATTTTTAAGAATAACCTCAGTTAGCATAGAAGGCTTTGTATATGTAGCGTTCTTGTACGGGAATAAGTTTATAAACGATCTCTCTTTGAAGTGTTTAACATGTTGTTCATAGAGCTTTTTTGGTTAAAGATGTATAAATACACAATAATGTAGAGATCTGATTTTTATTAAAATGAAACAGCAACTTATCTTGATAATTGAGAAATAAAAAGAGGAGGATTACATTGCGGGCATGATGATCGTGATGAACAGGCGAGAGTGATGCTATACTGATTGGGAACACAGTATACAGAGGCAGTACTGGCGCACGCACATGCAGTAAGTAGCGATTACATACATATCAAGCTGTTGATTGGCCTTTCCTTTTTTATTTGTAAACTAAACATACAATAAGCAGACTGAATTGGTAATTGGAAGTGATGAGTTGGATTTTAGAGCAATGGATAGATAGCTAGACTGTGTCAAAGTTTTAAAAAATCTCCTACTCCATAATCATACGGTTTTTGGGGGGTGGGGGCAGGGAGATGCTGTCTTCAACCCCTCAGCCTCACATAGGCCTACATCAAACAGCTAGAAACTCAAATTCATATGTACTATGCAGTTGATTGGATTCTTCTGTAATCAAAATTATAGTGCCTTCTGATACTCTTGTCAATGTTTTTCACCCGTGAAGAAATGTCGCCAAACAGTTTTGTCAGTAGGCTTAAAATTCATTGGCTTGGGAGGTTGACGTTTATGGTCATGCTGGAGCTCTGTCTGGTTATTGGGCGATGGATCCCAACAATGTGCAATTTCAAAATACTCCATCTCAAAATAGGTGATTTTTTACTGGCCGTACATGCAGTAGACTCAGCTTGCTTGCAGGTAACTAGGCCAACTGTCACCAACGCACGCGCCACAGCCTCGCCATACCCTGGGCCCGGTGTTGTGTTTACTCGCCATGGAGATCAATGGTACTCATGGCTGAAAACCACGTTGTGCGTTATGTGCTTTATGTGAGCGTTTTCAAAACGAGTGCAGTTTTGCTGGTTCTGGTCAGAACATGTTGTTTCAATGTGCGTGTACACAGCTCGGAATCTCGTACACCGAATAGTTGTGCACGCACACTGTACGAACTGCACTGGAGAATGGCTGAAAACAGTCCACAACAATGGAAAGAATTAACGTTACGTCCGACTTTATTTTCCTGTTTTTGTCTTTGATGGTGATGTGTCGAATTTCTTATCCCACCAGCTGTGGAGATAAGGATGCATGGAAGTTACAGGCATGAAATTGGCTCCTTGGAAAAGGTAGAAGTATTGGAAATTTAGGTATAAAATTTTTCGTCCCATTTTGCAGCCTTTATATCCTGGACTCCCTCCATAACAGTACGGTCAGGGAGTCCACCTGGGCTACATACATGATGTAGGTGCTTAGTAAAGGTATTGAACATTAAGGCCTGGAACAGGGTGCTAATAATGGTAATGAACACCGACCATTCAACAGGATAACATAAACCAGTAAAAACCCTCCTGGCCCAGCAACGTCGACGCGGAAACATAAATTACACAAGGGGCGGTCGAGAGATAACGTTCCTGGCGTTAGCCGCACGAAATACAGTGCAACTTAGCCAGTCAGTGCTGTGGCCTTGCAAAGAGTGGATAGACAACTTACAAAACAATGTTCTGTGAAGGTCTGGCAAATAAACAGTAAATGCAAACATCGTTAACAATATCTTGTGGGTGTATCTCATCAAACGACCAACCTGTCAGTGAAAACTTAGACCGACAGCTCCTAAAAGTCAATGTCTCGTGATCTTTACACACGGTCAACGAACGTACAAGGCAGCCGCCATCTTGTCCTCTACGGGAAATCCCAAAGTGCGCAAACTCACATCTGTGCGGCAACCTTTAGCCACATAATGGGCTACCTTTCCAGCCGCTACAAAAGATTGTGAGACTAATACATTTCATTTATACCCACAGTAGCAGGCGTTTAGTTGTTATTCTTTAGCAACACTCTACACATTTATATCAGTTTTGATTGATTAAAGGATTAAAAGGTCACAATTTCTCCCAAACCGATATTTTAGTAAGTGCTTCATTATTCACGAACAGATAAGGTGCCTGGAAGAACGTCTAAAACATTGTTGAGGACCCGCCCCCTTATAAAAAATTATAGTGCCTCGAGGAAAACAATTATTTTGAAAGTAATCAACCAAAATAAACAAAAGCGGTCAGACCATAGACCTGGGGGAGCAGCTCCTCCAGGTCTATGGTCAGACGCACGAGAAACAGTAAAATGCAAGACAGGGGGAAATCGAACGGAAAATTTACAGCGATCCACCTTTGCAGGGAACGCTTGGGGACAGGGATTGGCCAGGGTCAGTAGAAGTGTACATGTCAGAGAGCCCAAAGTCTAGTTCAGGAAGTTGAGGCAAATTTATCATTACTTTTACTTGCTCTGTTAGAAACTAGGCATATGTTCATGACCACACTCGGCTCGGAGGCGAAAATTTGGACCCAAACTCAACAACTCAGACTCTCGGCTCTGGCTCAATCAGACTCGGCAGTCAACGAACTGTTAACAGTGAAGGGAGCATTTACCAATTGTCTATGTAGTGGCCTGTTTGAAATGGTTAGTTTGTTTTTCACCTAGTTTATCAGTCAGCAATTTAGCGATAGGAGACAATTTGAGTTACTTTCTAACTTTCCTTAGGTCTTGCTAGCTAACAGTAGAAAATATGTGTCTGACTTTCCACCGTACACCGTGAGGCACGGTCAGGGAAAACTCTGCCCGGCTTTTTCCCGGGTAAATGTCCGTGGAGATTTGGGAAAGTGTTCATAAATTATACCATTAAGCCGGCTTATGGTGAAAAGTTAGGCAAGCAGTTCTAGAGTATGAACTTGCTTGGTGGAATCTTCCAAGTAGATTTTTCCTGACCATCAGCTCCACAAAGGGAAGTTCGGCACACTGTTTCTTGACCATTAGGGGCCGTCCATAAAGTACATACGCACGAAATGCCGACTTTTTAGCCCCCCTACCCTATACGCATGACATACATAGTTGCTCAAACCCCCTCCCCTGTATGCATGGTTTACACGACGACCCCCCCCCCTGAGTACATACTTTATGGACGGCCCTTAAGTTCGTGGTCAATTCTACTGGTTTTTTTTTTAATCTTGCTGGTGGATTTCTCACTTGCTCTTGTACATTCTTAAGATTATCATTTATTTCTCCTTTTTTTGCGATTTCATGGGCATTTATTAATTGTGTCCGTGCATGAACCTTGAAGAGGGCTCAGGTGAGGGCGTCCTGCCAACTTCAACGGTGGTGTGTCCCGTGTCAGTCCGTACTGTACGTGCGTTGGAAAAGTCTGTAGTGAATGCAATGCAAATCTTAGGGTCTGGCTTCTAGTTTATCAACATTTAGGGAATCCCAGGGGTTATTTACAATAAGAGGTAATAAGGCTGAAGTAAGAACAGTGTTGAAATTAACGGTGCGGCTTTTACTTTTAGGGGAGTTCATTTTGTCAGTGTTTGGAGATAAATAATTTTCCCCAAGCCCACAAGACAGTTGATGTTCACGTTTACTGTGATAGGGATCGAGTCCATAGTTAATTCTGTAGTTCTTATAGGTTTTTTTACTGGGAGGGAGGGACGGAGGTCGTGAAAAACGGGGTAAAAATTGCTTGTCGTCAGAAATGTTTAAGAGTCTAATTTTGTTCTTGATTGGAAAATTCAGACAGGGTCTCATCATATATAATTCCCACGTTTCCGTCGGTTGGAAAAGGGGGAGGGTGGTTAGAAGAGAAACACGGAATGAAACTGTAGGGTCCCTAATCTTCAAAATAGAAAAATTAGGCAATTTTGTTTTTCATTTACCGTAATCAGGCTCAAGTAAGAGTGCTATGATAGACAAAACTTTGCTGACCTTTGGCTGGCCGGGTAAAAAGCATGGTGAAGTTTTTAAGTCCGTTTATTTTCGTAATCAACAATTAGATAAACCCTCAAAATGGAGTGTTGACGAGATTATTTGAGAGCAAGTTACAGATGTTTTTAAGAACCGTAATGACGGATGAATTTGTTCGGGGCAAACTTGAACTCTATGTTGTAGGCTGTAAAGGGGTTATTCCCATGATTTGCATGCCCATTGGATCTGTTTTCTTTGCTGTCTAAGGGTTTTGTGATCATCTGCAGAAGCGTATTGCTGCCAACGCGAAAAAATTATTTTATCTCGTTTAAATGACTGAGTATCTGGTTTAAACGACATACATATATGATATCTCGTTTAAACGAGATAACTATGTCGTTTAAACGAGATAACTATGTCGTTTGAACGAGATAAAATAATTTTTTCGCGTTGGCAGCAATCATGCGCTTCCGTAATCCTTAAACACGAGGGCTTGCCGTAGCGAGCCAGAGTTCGAGAATGGTCCGTGCAAGTGGCGAACAGGATTTTGCGCCGAGATTCAGATAAAACTGGGGCCTATTTTGCAGTGGATTTTTTACAATTAAAATAGCAATGGACCTCTTTTAGGGTTGACCATCATCACAAAATTCCATCAGATTATCCGACATAATCAACTGAAACTCAAAGAGCTGTTAAAAATTGAAAATAGCGAGCTTTCTTTATTCCGGAGAGAATCTGACAAATTGATCTTCATTATAATGGCTCTGCAATACATTCTTGGGGCTATCTGGCGCCCTCACAATTATTGAAACATTTCGAGTGAGGGCGCTCAATACCACTCGCGAAACACATGTACGTTTATGCACATGGCACCACGACACCGCGGTGCGCGTACATGTACACCACGCGGGACTTATCCCGCGCTAATTGATCGTCTCGATTGTACTGCAGCTCACATGTACACGTACGTACGCATATATCATATATCTACAGTACACGTAGCTGTCACTTTCGCTCTCATTTGCTTGATGTGTCAGTTGTACTTGTAGTATCTTCGTGAACCAGAAACAAGCCCCCAATAAGAAAACTGTGTTCATCGTGAATTTTGCCATCTGGCTCAGCTGCTCAGACTCGGTACAGGGCGAGGAAAAGGTGGGTGATCGATGGAGGAAGGAATACTGTACTGACTAACGTTAATGTTTTCCTACATGTACCTCCATCATGTCCATGGTCATGATTGATTAGCAAGGAACAGACGGTCTACCACAGTACCAGTAGGCCCACATGTTTTAAACCAGTTACTTTCAATACCATGGAGAACGGTTGTTATGAATATTTGACATCACTATTAGGCCTATTAATTTTTGATTGTTTAATGATTAATGGGCGTGATCAGTGGATCTTTGCGATTATTTTTGTCAGCATTTTCTCACATTGACCTGAGTGGCATGCCACCATATGGCAAATGTCCTTGTGCACCCCGCTGTTGTATGCATGCTGTGCAAAACGTGTACGTTACATGTACATGTAGAAATACAATGAAGGTACCGGATCGATTCTAGAGGTTGGGATGATGTCACTGATTCTTGATTCTTCTCTCTGATTAGTCAATTGATGGCTATTCCATATTTCACACTCAAAACTCATAGAGGCAAAAATAGTATTGCGGTCTATAGGGAAAAATCTGAATTATTGACTAAACTCTTGACCTTTACATCAAATGTGCCTGAAATTTCACTATTTACACAGTGTATGTGCTATAACATCTCCCTCACTGTACTGAAAAGGTTTAGGTTATTTTTATCGTGGTCGCAATTAGGAAAACATACATGTACTAATCCCCGTAGAAAGTTGACCCATTGAATGGACAGTTGACCCATTGCCAGACTTCTGACCTCAAGAATGTCCCACTCAGGGTTTCCAAGTGTGAGGAGGCCCATTTCACTGATTTTAGTGATTTTAGTCACTCTTAGAATAGACAAAGAAGGAAGGAAATAAGCAAACAAACTGTTTTGAAAGAGGCCTAGATCAGTTTTAAATTGTTCAGAAAGGTAAAGAGGGACACAGCACATGATCAATTTATTTTAGAGGGGAAATTGGAAGTAAATGTACTCTAATATAAGACTACATAGAATTAATTTTAGGCCTTTTTGCAAACATTTGCTTTTGTTTTAGGCACTAGAATTTGGGCCAAATTTGTTCAACTATCCCACAGTACCCAGGTCTGACTGCAAGAATACCGGTAGCTTGATTGTAATATATTGGTAAAAGACAATCCTGAATTGGAAACAACATCTGTTGATCCAATTCCCCGTTAGTGATTCATCATAGTCATAAATCAACTGAGCCAGTTTGATATTTCAGCCTGCTTACATGTACATGTGGATTAAAGTTTTTGGGGTCATTTGGGAACAGCAGTAGTGTACATGTACACTGTATGTACTGTTATGTTGAAGCAAGCTGGGCCCTATGTTTAATATCATTGCACACTGATATGATGCACATGCACCGAAAATTGTATTGATTATATCCTCCAATGTCAACGTCAGCTGTCAAATTGCACTTGATTAACCCAAGTGTCTGTGGACAGGAGGCTGCCCAAAAAATTTGGAAGTATTTTAATGTAACCTTTTATGGCCTTTCTGAGGGGTGAAGCTACATTTTGGGTTGTTTAGTCATGCTTTTGGAAGGAAGGAAAATGAAATGGACAAACAAATGATTTACAATCGCCTTTCATTATTTAAAGGGGAGGGTGGCACATGGTCCCATTGTCACCCCCACTGGGATCCACCCCGTCTCCAAATTGTCATCTCAGTGCTGGCATTCATTATGACACAAATATAGTTAGCTTGCAATGAACAGCTCACACCTGTAAATTTGGGCATCATTTTGCGTTGGTTTTCTTACTAGAATTCTGTGAGGAAACAGCCATTTTGTGTTTGTGTCAAGTCACTTGTCAATGTGTGCCTGTGGGACAGTGGTTTTTCACTAGATCCCTAGGAGTGCTGCTGTTCTTTGAGATCGATAAGCACTGGGCTCAAACGTGTTTATTGTGAATTAGGTGGTCAGTAGTGAGTTTGTGTCATAACGAGTTACAGTCTGGAGATAAAAGTTGGGAGACCAAAACTCCCCCCCCCCCAAAAAGAGGAAAAGCAGTGAAACAGTTCAGTTGTGACAAGAAAATGGTTGATCAGGTTGGACAAGTGAAGCTATACAGTACTTATGAAGAACACATGGACACTTGTGACCATTTTTAGGGAAATGGGCCATTCCATTTTTTTTTTTTTGCCAAGTGGTGTAGGCCAAAGAAGTGGCTGTACTTCATTAGACTGGCTCCAGTCTGGGGCTAACATCATGATTAGGTAAATCTGAAGAATGCACATCCACTTAACCCTAACACTCCTCAGTCCTCCAACAGGTGAAGGATTGAGGAGGGTTAGGGTTAAAGGTTGAAGATTTGATCTTCATAGTAAGCTGTCAAGGTGTGGAGGTAATGTTTCTCCCTCATGCCTGTACTGCTGGTGTAAACCAACCAAAATGCCCTTGAGCTACGGTATTCTCCCATTGCAATCGCTTTCATCTCGGACCTCATTTCTACATCTCCATGCTTCCAACATTGCCTGACAGTTGGGATTCTTCAGTGTCCCGGTCCTACGTTTAGATGTACATGTACAACTGTAAGTTACCTGGTAGCTTCTGAAGAATTTCAGAAAGGTACATTGGTTAATTTCCAGCCCCGGTATTGTCATAATATGCATGACGCTAAAAGAGAATGTCAAATTTTAACCCAAACTGTATATGATCTGTTTACATAAACCGCTTTTTTTTTCACAGCATAATACTACACACATGTAATCTCATGCGTTCACCTCATCCGCCGAATGTACAACACTTTGTTTCCTTGTATCCTGTACAGCCTAGTGTTGAAAGGATCATTATCGAAATTGAACACAGTTAGTATATACACGTATGTAGGCCCTACATGTACAGGCAGATGTAAGCTTTCTAAACTTGTTATTGAAAAAATTTTCCCACTCCAACTCCCCCAGAGAACTTGTCTGAAATGAAAGTGGCATTTTTAATTTCCTGTGTGCAGCTGCCGCTTTTCACTCATGCTATGAGTGTCTTCTGTCTCCCCCTATGTGTTTATGTCACAGACATAAACTAGTCAATTAAATAACCTGTTCCTAGCTCGCAGAATTTCAGGGAAGAATTACAAGAGCTTGAATTATGCTGTAAAACATGTTTAGGCCATGTGAACATTAAACATAGTTTCTCGTCCGGGACTGCATTGTAGAAAGAGAGGAGGCCTCTCTTCCAAATTTTCTCTGTCTTGCTGGTACTTTGTGTTTCAAGGATATGACCCTGTCCAACAAGTGTTGAATGTGCATTCCTCTACATGTTTATTTTCTTAGGAATAAGTTTAAAGTCAAAATATCAATTGTGTTTAAAAAAACCTACAAAAGGAAGCAGGCAGGGAAAAAAGAAATTGGGAGGAATGAAAAACGAAGTTTCCCAAACCGTCACTGACTTAAGGATGGAGTTAGCCCAATTTACATACATGTCTCTCAATAAGATACGGTTATTTACGTCTATTTTCAAATTCAATAGAATATCACACAGTTATCAGTATGACAACGGCCAATGAAGGATGGGGGGTCAATAGAGTATAACATTGCATGAAAGCAATTACAGTATTGCATAAAATAGTCCTTCTTGATAATGACAGCCACTTCTAGTGTGGAGGTAGCATGCTTGTATCAAGCCGTAAATACTAACATGTTCACGTACATGTACGTGTACATGTACTTATAATATGCTGACTGAGCACATACATGTACATGTGTAGGTATGCACGTTCATGTGTGTGTACATGGGACAACAGATTCACTGAGAAGTGCCAAACTGGAAAATTTAAAAGGAAAAGATTTCATGAATTTCACAGTAGTTGTACGTGTATCTTGTCTGCAAAACCAAACTTTAATGCATCACCGAGCACGTCTAGATCCGTTGCCCTGATCTCTAGAGGCACACTCCATATTTTGCTTAATAATGCCAAACGCCTTCGGGGACATCAAGTTTATTGATCCGTGTATGGAGCGCTTGAAATCTCACAGCTCGTCAATAATTCTGCACAATGGATTTCCATTTTATGCGAACTCGTGTTACCCTTGTGGCTATACTTTTTCGGTGCCAGCCCCCAACGGGCATGCAATTAACCCGGTTGTGAGCCAACATGAGTACAGCTTTCCCCCGTAGCATGCATGCAGATAAGGTGATCACATAACTCTGGTGACACAAATGGCCGAATTGCTTATCGTTTAATTGACACAAAATACATGTACATGTACAAACCAATGTAAATTTTGTGTGGGCTGGATATACAGGCAGAGTACATGTACTGTATGTCTAGATATTAGCATATAAATATCAACTTTTCACATAAATATTGATTTTGATAAGATTTCATATTGTAAATTTGAACCGGTGTAAATTGCACTTTTATTTTGTGGTTAAATTAAACCCTTTTACATAATACTTCTGTTTAAACTGAAAATGTAGTAAAGTTTGGTACATGGGTATTTTTCTTTTTCCAGAGGGCACTTACAGTACATGTACATGGAATGCAGACAGCAAAAAATTAAACAGAAAAGAAGAAATAAAAAGTCTACTAAGTCATCAGCTTTTTGCAGATCTCTTTAAAATGAGAATAAATCTATGGTTTCAGATTGCAAGTCAATACATGTATGCACATGTACATGTACTTGTTTGTGTACCGGTAGGATGGTGCCAACAGCAGCAACTTGATGATGCAATCACACTCAACACTGCATGAACCTCTGAGTGCAGGTGGAATCACACGTATTGCACACTTGGCAAGCATTGAGCCACGTGGCACTTCACACAAGCATTCACTGCACATGAACAGTACATTAATGTGCACTCTAGAGGTCACTTTCAAGTCAGGTCATTGGAAGATTTGACATGGAGTAGAGCCATATAGGTTCAAGCTGGTGAAAGTGGTAAGTGAATAACCCCCCCAAAAAAAGCTTTTCATCAGCACAAGTACAGTCAAACAGAACAGTAATTATGAAAAAAAAAAACGATGTGGCTCCACTGCTGACAAATAATAGTTTTGTGTTTTTTTTTAAATTTTTCATGGTTGGTGTACGAGTATAAGAATTGCCCATTTGATTAACTTTAAGCCAAATGAAAACCAAAAACTTGATTTCTCAAGTGAGTTTTATGCATACTTATATGATTGATTTTTACTTTGTAATATTATTCTCAGTTTTAAGCTGTAGTCATTTAAAATTTGGCTGCGACACATTTTGCAAGTGACTAATTTAAATATCAATTTATGTTTAGTGGTGTCTTTCTCTTTGATGTGTATATTTACCCTTACATGTATGTGCACTTTCACTTTGGAATGTACATGTATTCGGTTGTTTGCTTTATTTTATTTAAATTTTTGTGACAATTGAAAATTAAGATAACATATACATGTACCACTAGGCTTAAAACTTAACAAATTAGACCCCCTCCAAAAAGAAAGTGCAGGCCAGCAGTTAACCATAGAATCCATTTTCGATTGGTCCACTTCATGTTGATATTGTTTGATATTCTACATGTACATGTAATTATTATCAGCATGTACATGTTCTTGGGTACACACTCTACTGTATCTGCGTGCATGTGCCTGTACTACAAAACACGTGTACACTGTGCAAAATATTACGAAATATTTGTAAGTTGTACAGATCTGTTTATTGATTACATGTGATCAAGTGTGAGGTATGTCAGGATTCTTCCTGATTTCAGGATTTTTTTCACACAGATTTTCCTGATTGCAGGATTTTTCGAACAATCTCAAGTTTCAAAATCTGGAAAATCCTAAGCTTTCTTCAAAGGTGTTTTTACTTATGAAAGTTAATTTAGATTACAAGAAGTTAGTATTTTGAAGGTCCGTCTAGGCAAACAATGTAAACAATCTTATGCTGCTGTGTCACCCTCAAACCCACAGGTGATTATTTCGTGGATACTTTGTTTTTCTCACATCTCATCCATGTGTGATGTTTTACTGTCACTTCATTCATGAAAACTTGAAGGAACATATATTTCATGTGTCTGGTTTTTATATCAAGAAGATAGACATGCACCTGTCCTGTGGCACACCAGTATTTACATGAGTCCTTTCTCAGCCCAGCTCCATTCATTCCAGAGCATTCCAGAGATGACTGGAGATAACCGTGTGCTTACTACATGTACACTCCAGTTTCACCTGCTGACATAAAGCTTTTAAGTCATTGTGTGCAGTGTTCATTACCTGCCAACCTGCCAATAGATACAGAATGGATACCCATGCCTGGTCAGATTTGTCTCCAGTAATGCTTGAGCAGGTTATGATGGATGGTCAGTTGTGTGAAGTGTAGGTTTAAATCTGCATGGGGCACTTTTTTCAGGGGTCCTTGAGCAATCTGTTTAGAGCACTAACCCAAAGGTTAGTGCTCTAAACAGATTGTTTCTTTTCCTGAGTTCCTAGAGGCAAAGAGACCTTGAAAGGCATTGATATTATAATTACCCTGAAATGGTTCTCTAAATAAAAGAAAAACCTACATGTACTCGACAGGGTTGATACTGTAAATTCAGGGTCCAAAGTTTTGTTTTTCCTGCGCAATTTGACAGGAAAGTATTGAAATCGACATTAAATTATGTTGATTTATTTGGCAAGTGATTTGCATATTTTAATACTTGATTTAATCTCTTGTAAATAACAAAATGCATTCTAAATGTACAAAATCATACGCCAGATGTGACAGGGACACAAAAAATTGGACCCCATATCTATAGAGTGACCTCAGAAAATATTTCTCTTCATGGGCATTCACGTTCAGATAATGAGGAGTTTGCCTTTCTCTGATCTAACGTTGATAGCAAGTGTGAGCAAAGGAACCTAATAGGGGTCATCCCCATGCCCTGTACTAAATAGACTGGCAAGATTGTGGTTCAGGTTTAAATCAAAAGTTGTGCAAAGAGACATGAGACTGAGTTTCACCTAAAGCAGCCTTGTTTGTTTTTTTCTTGCATGTACATGTACATGTATGTAGGCCTATAGTGCATGGTCATTATGATTTCCGGTTAATAAAATGTAGCTATTCTCTCATCATTTTTGTTTGCATAAAGGTCCCCCCCACCCCCATTAAAAAGAATTAGCATTAGGAGTTCTAGTCAGAAGGCATTTACATTTGTGTGTGTGTCTATTCAGTTATTAGATGAAGGTTTGAGTGGAGCAAATACCAGTAACAATATGCTTGCTGTACTAATAATTGGAGCTTAGGTCCCTCATCAAAAATTGTGTGTACTTTAATCACAAATTCTGCACTCCTTAAAAAACCAACCTTGGTCAATATTGATATGCTCAGTACAGGTGAATTATGAAGTAGGTTTGATCTTGACATTAGTATGCAATCAATTTCTGTTTTATGTTCATACATGTACCTGCGTCAAGAATTCGTGTGTGGTATATTGAGCCTTAGTTAAAGAAAGGCTGGCTTATTTGTAGGGTTGGAATTTTTGATTTGGTGAGTCCGTCCCTGTGCAAAAAATGTACTGTACTTGTATAGGCAGTACCTGCCTGTGAATAATGACCATATGTGCAGGTGAAAGCCTGCATTCAGTGCCATCTCCCTTGCCATTTGTTGAAGTGTTTGCCTGGAATAAGGTGAGGCCGGCCAGTACTTGTGTATTGATGAAAAGGATTGCTTTCTGTAAGCACAACTGTCATTATGAATGCCCAGGAGTTTTGGAATATTACGATCAGGATGGCTGAGGCATATTAACGCGTAGGGTGATAAATGCATGCCCACTTTTTTTTTTTTCCCCCCACTTCTTTTACTCGTATTTTGTCTTGGATGCTGAAGTCTTATTGGTCAGCAACAATCACGCCCAGTTTATGAAAGATGGTGATAGGTGAAGGAACAAATGGGGGGGGGCATTTTTATGCAAGACAGTCTTGCATAAGAATTACATTACCTCACAAAGACATAGCCACTAGTGTAGGGGGAAGGGGGGAGAAGTGTTTGGTACAGTGTGGTAAAGCTTCTCAACCTCATGTTCGTCAGGAGAGCGAGCCGACAGCTTTATTCAAGATTTCACTATGCCAATTGAATTATTTCCTGCAAAGCAAGTCTCTGTTTTTTTTTTCTTTCTGACTCAAACTAAAAACAGTTGGTGACTGCAGTGATGCAGGATAATGTACTTTTTAACCTTCGTAAAGATGCATGCCATCCTGTTGTTCCAATACTAGGTAGAATCTACCTCCATGGTTTTAAAACAGCAATCACCTTTTAAAGTGTCCTCTTTCATGCTCTTATATTAGTGCTCACCATTCTAGAGCTCCTTAAACTCAGATAAGTGGTGACAGATGTGTCAGTTACATGTACACTGAGAGCAGGCAAACTGTGTGATGGTGTAGGGTGATTACTCACTGTGTTTAGAAACCTGATGAGCAATTTTGCAATGACACCACGTGGAGACAGCATGCACTGGCCAATTAATGGTCTCCAAACATGTAGGTATCACTGTGATGTCATGAAGTGACTTGCATGGTTGAGTGCTTCCTCATTTTGCTTTTGATTCTTCCCTTTAGGTGCCACTATTATAGTAGAAAGTTGGTAAAATATTGATTTGGGACTGGAATGGTTTCCACCTTGTGTGTACCTATGTAAATGTTCAATGTTTCATTGCATATCATTTTTCACCTGTGCTTTCAGTTAGTAGTCTGTAATGGGCCCTTATGCTGTTCGTATCGGGCACAGATTGTGCCCTGATAACTTTTTTGCATGCTGTGTTATGCTCACCTGAGTTGTGTGGAAGGTTGGCATGGTGAATTGATATACATGTACATGTAATGATGTATGTCAGATTGTGTGTCTGTGCTAAATGCACTCTGCATCAGGAAAACAGTGTTCAGTGTGACAGTTATCGTGAAATCAAATATTTTTGATTCGTTAGCAGTCCATAAGTGACACATTTAAATCCTGCCTAACTGCATGAAGTTCAGTTTTCAAATTTTGCGAGATCAGCAATTGTATCCCTTTAAAATAAATCGTCAAAATAAAACTTGTTTATTCATTCTCTGAAAAGTCAGTAAATGTCAGAGTGTGAGCTCCAAGATTTATTTCCACATTCTTAAGATCCAACAAACTGTTGAATCTATAATAAGATTTCCTCTTGGGGTAATACTAACATGTACTTAAGTTCTAGAACATATGTTATACAAAAGTGCTGCAAACTGCTTTCTGGCTTCAGTGACCTAAAATACAAATCACAAAATATGGAGGGCCTGATGTTCCTATCCTAGCAGAATCTTTCTCAAAGGCAAAATGACAAGTAGACTGGGAAAAACCTGACAAGTAGACAAGGTCCCTGCTACTTGTCCTTTTGCCTTTGAGAAACATTCTGCAAGGATGTACTCGAGTTGTTAAGAGTGTTTTTCAGTGTAGAGATGGCACTTAACATGTAGGTTTTCTTTTCCAAATTTAGCATTATTATACAGCACCATACGTATGTACATGTACATGTGTTCCTGAACGCATGCTTCTAGTTCTACACACTTCTCTTCAACCATATTATAAGTGTCTGTCCACAGTAAAGCAGATTCTAACCATGTCTGAGTTTCTAAAAGCCAAGTTTTACAAACCTGGCTGAAGGATTTGCTGAGTGTTTTGTCAAGTATCCTGGTTCACGACTGCTGACGCACACACATCGAGCCTTCCTTTTTGTGTATTTGATATATGAGATTGATGCTGGCAGCTTGCCACAGTCTCCTGACAGGTCACCTGGTTATTCAACAGACTAAATGGGGGGAAAAACACTAACACCTGAAGGCTTACTATCTTGCTAAGATATATGGCACTGAACCACGAAATTGATTCAGCACTGGTTCTTTAGGTATTGGGTTGCTGGTAAATTAAGGCCTTGAAAATGTTCTTTTCCCCCTTGCAAATAAATTGTTCGATAATTTTTGCAATTTTTTAGTAGAAATGAGAGAAGAAACTTATCAAATGTTGTTAAAATAAATGTTCTTTTTGAAATGACACCTAAGAATAATTAAAAAAACTCTTTTTTTCAGATTTCAGATTTGATTGAGGCTAGGACTATGATTTTGTAGGTGTGCATCTGTTGCTGTGTTTTACCATCCAGAATGGCGCATCTGACTCGGGTTGCGTCAGCATTGAAACATCAAGTGGGTCCGCAGCTGGGAAGCCTGAGGCTTCGGTTGCTCTCCACAAGTTCCTCAGCATGGGCTAACCTGGACAAGGTGAGGGCGGTCTTGAATCAAGTTGATAATTTGTAATTAGGTTTAGTGCACGGCTATAAGTACATGTAAACATTGTGACTGTTGTGATCAACTGTCAATGTTTGCTTGTCTTGAATTGGGTTTTCCATGTTTTTGTGCATTCTGTTCAACAGTTTTTGTTGTAATTTCACAAGATTTTTGAATGAACTCTTTTCATTTTTATTGAAATGTTTAATTTTCTAAAATCAGTAAACTTAAGGTCGTTCCTATGTATGACGTAGCAAGGAAAATGTCATGTACTCTACATATATTTGTTGCAATGATACTGCCCTTTTATTCAATGTACATGTCCAGTTTCCTGAAGTTCGAGATTTTTTTGTCATGGACTGAGGGAAAAACAGTCATCTCCAGAATTTCATTGAAAAAGGAGGAAAAGAAGTTTTCTTAAGTACTTAATTTGTCCCCTCCCCCCAGCCAGCACAGTTGAAATCCTTCCTGTAGATTACAGATCTTTTCTAGTGGATTGATACTTTCTTCCATCTTCAAAACCTTTCTAGTTTACAAATTTGATTAGGAATAAATGAAATAAATCTCAATATTTTATGAAATGAGACATTTTTTGCAAACAGTTAAAATGGTTTCGGAGATGTCTTGTAGCGATAGGTATTGTTGTCAAACATTTTCAGTCACGTTCTTAATTTTTGTACATATATTTGTAAATATTAGCCGAGGTACATGAACGGTGTTCAGTGATACTGCTGCTTTGTTGCCAACTAGTATTAAATGACACTGTTGCATTTCCAATAATTACAAATAAGAAGTAACTCAAATGGAAGAGTTCCTTTTGCAAGCCTAACCATAATCGCAGCCTCTTTTACAAAAATGAACAATATACTCTGTACGTTTTTCCATGATTAAATGATTGAAAACTGTGTAAGTGTATGCACATGGAGAAGTTAGTTACTCCTACCGTAATTTGAGTTATGTATGCTATTAATTCCATTTTGAAAGTGGAATAGTTTCTTTTGAAACTGTTCTCTCCACAGCCAAGGCAAGCCTACTTGGTGCTGGATGATGGCAGTAAATTCAAGGGTTATTCCTTTGGTCATGAGACCTCTGTTACTGGGGAGATGGTCTTCAACACTGGACTTGTCGGGTAAGAAATATTATATATCACACGTGCCATACCACCGACATACGTGTAACTCTCCCACACCGTGGCTCGGCCTTTTTTAGTATGGGAATCGAGCAGCTTGGCAAGAAGTAACCTGATAAGGGCAATGTGTTAGATTCTTGATCTTTACCTGCAACCAGGATCACGTTGCATCATTCACTATTTCACCAGCCGTTTCTGTTTATAGGCCTGTCTTGGCAGTGCGCCTGTAGGGAGACAGCTCTTTGTAAAGAAATCTGGATATCACACATGTAGCTAAATAGTGCAGTACAGAGAACGAAAAAGAATACCTCATACTCATTTCTTTGACAGTTGGTGTTGACAGACATGAAAAACATGACTACATTCATGTTGTTTCTCTCTCATAGAGTGCTATCAATGTTTTAAAAACTTAATTATAAATTTATCTTTGGTGGGTTTCGTATTGCACTCGTAGTTTATGTCGTCAATTTTTTTGCAGTTGTGGTTTAGCAGTTGAAGCAAATTTGCAAAAATCCAAATTTTTTTGATTAGCTATCCAGAGTCCATGACTGACCCCAGCTACCGAGGTCAAATCTTGACCTTGACTTACCCACTTGTGGGCAACTATGGCGTGCCTGACACAAACATTGAGGATGAGAATGGGCTCAGGATTCATGCGGAATCTGAGAAAATACAGGTGAGAAAAAAAGGGGGTGGGAATTCGCATCAATCAATTTTTCAGTGTGGAAAAGATGAAAATCATAAGCTTCAATTTGATACCCAAAATAAATAGTTACTCTTGGGTTACTTTGGGAGGGGGGCACCATGCAGTGTTGTATTCGAGCCCTTCACAAGTCCCTGTCAGTCCATCACAAGTCCGGGTCCGTCCATCACAAGTCCACCTGAAGTCATTCAGTCTTAAGCCAATTCACAAGCTATTCAAATGAACTGTGACCAAAGCATTCCTTTGTCATTGTTCACCCTGTTACTTATGACTGGCTTTGTGAGGGGACATGTGACTGGACTTGTGATGGACTCAATTACAACACTAGCACCATGTACAGAGTCAGTTTTGGGAGGGTCAAATGGAAGGCCATTTTCTCTATTGGAAAATCCTAAGAAATCCCCCACCAACTTGAATTTCATCATGGGTCTGATGGAGATGTCCACAGAAAATATCTGCAATATATGAAACTTGAGTGTGAAAAGTGTTAAATAATCTTGCTGCAGAATTTCCTCTCAATCAGTGTAATAATTGCATGCAGCATACAGAATTGTTAGTTCATGTTTTATAGCATTTCTCTTGTACGTCTACTGTTGTATTTTGACTAAAAAGCTGATTGTGGTTGTTGAATTGAAATGGCAAGCTCCTTGAACATCTGGTGCTTTCAGCATTTTGCATGAAAGGGCAGTCATAAAGTGCGAGTGTTCAGTCACACGCAGTTTGACATTTATTCATTCATTCGACGTCTGGTTAACAATCACCGTACATGAACATTCACAGGCATATGCTGAATGTAAAATTAATTACCAGATTAACGTTGTGTTGTGTCTAAAGAACACTGTAAATGGAAGTTTTAACGTGAGAAAAATAGACAGGACAAAGATGAATGGATTTCCTGTTTGATTTCCATCACAGATCAGCTACATGTACGTGTATAAATATTTTGTATTTAGTTACACCGTCTCTCATATGAATTAATTTAAAGCTGCTTGATTCACAAATCCATTGAAAAGGTGCATTTAATAGAATTTTTATAACAAAAAAGTTGAATACAAATAAATCAGTTTGTATCTAAATATATTTCAAATTCATCAAGGCAATTTAATACAATATTTGTTTAATTTTCATATTTTAATTAAATAATTTTCCTGCTTGAAATGCAAAATAAACATAAAAGGGTAAATTTAATTTTTACGGTTTCCATATGATTCTGCTTTCAAACAAAACTTTACCACAGCTATATTCAGTTTATCCCGTAGACCAAAAATTGCTGAAAGAAAAGGAAATATCCTGCAGTGAATGATAGAAATCCATTTTAAAAAGTACAAGAATGTTGCAACTTTTTCGGAGTGGAAGCAAATTCGGATATGCCAGCTGCGGCAGTCTGTATTAAATTTGTAACTATGTAGAATCTCCAAGGTTCTGAAATATTTGCACTTTGTTTTTTCGGAAAACCCTCTAAAATTGTAGCTTTGATTTTCTGGTCTCAGTTTTTTTTTGGAGTGTGAAATAAAGACTACAAAAATTTCTTTGTGTGTGTAAAAGGTCGACTGAAATCAGTGGGTTCTCTTTTGCATAAGCTTAAAAACAAGCGAAGATTTGGGGTACCATGCAAACTTATGGTCTGATGATATCAGGGTTGAATCTGCAGACATACATTGTCTGCATGAAGTTTACCCCATCTGCCAGTTTCCAAGCAATTACTGACATTTACTGCAAATTCAGCCACTCGCACCAACTGGAAATGCACTGTTCACATTTTAAATATGGCAGATGTGATTGGACATGGCAGAAGAGCAGATTCATGATTATGAATCTGTGGAGGTATGACATGACAAGGGAACAAATTGGCAGGGGCACAACTGTCTTCTTTAGGGCAGAGTTGATGGCTGTACAAGTTGGCTAAGGGGTTTGAGGTGACTTGAAAGTGTTATTCTTTCATTGTGTACAGATAACTGGTCTGCTGGTACAAGATTACTCCAAGAGACCCAGCCATTGGGCCTCTGTCAAGTCCTTGTCTGATTGGTTGACGGAAGAGGGTGTGCCAGCACTTTATGGCATTGACACCAGGATGTTGACCAAGAAGATCCGAGACACGGTGAGACAGGACACTTTGTGAAGTCTGTACGTTATCATCCAGACAGAAAAACGAGTTAACCTCAAACTTAATAATGACTCAACCTCAGACTTAAAATGAATTAAAACCCCAACCCCCAAGGGCGTACGTAAAATCACATTGAAATTGGAGGATTTGAGACTGTTAGTGTTAACCTCAGGTTTAAGTGGTTGCTCAACAGACGCCAGTAAATCCTGGGTAAAGATCATTTCAGCGGCCTGATAATTGATTTGAAGTCTTTTTGTTTATCTCAGGGTACCATTCTTGGCAAGATTGAGTTTGACGATCAGCCCATTGACTTTGTGGACCACAATGCAAGGAATCTGATAAGTGAGGTGTCCACGACCGAGACTCAAATCTTTGGCAAGGGTAACCCCTACAAGGTCATTGCAATCGACTATGGAATCAAGAACAACATCATTCGCAGCCTTGTTAAGGTATGCTTCATATTCTGGGCCAAGGTCCAAAATGTTATGTTCAAGTAGTTGATAGAGTGTTCACATGTGATTTTGGCTCAACGAGTGCCATTTTTGGGGGGAGGGTACTTTCTTGTGCATGGTTCTGACTTGAAATAGGGCAATAATACCAACAAAGGGCTGCTAAATGATAGTAGGCAACCACGAGACAGGTCAATAGAAAGGAAATAAAATCCCTAAGCAGTTAGTGTAAAAAGGTGTTCAGTTAGACAAATTTGTGAACTCTGGTGATAAGAAATAACACAAGTTAAATCGCTGAAACAGCCTGAGTTGCTTAGCAATGTTATTTTTATTTTGTTTCCCAGAGAGGTGCAGAGGTACACCTGGTTCCATGGGACTACGACGTGACTAAAGACACCTATGATGGCCTCTTCTTATCAAACGGGCCAGGTGATCCAGCCCTAGCAAATGCAGCCATTGAAAATCTGAGGAAGGTATAAAAGCTGCGTCAGGAACTGTGAAACAACCAGATTTCTAGAAAGCAAGAATATGCCAATTTGGGGGGAGGGTAGAAGGGTGTCTAATCACACATTTGTTCAAATTTTGAAATTACCGTCTCATAATATGCTCCAGTGTCAAACCAATATTTCAAACAGGGGTTCTCAAGACTGTCTCTTGCCTTACCAGAAGTTACTGATTACTGTGACAGATAGGACATGTTTTTCCTCTTTGAACACACACCTTATACACGCTTCCCTTTGTGCATCAGCTGATATTTGACCAATCCTGACTCAATCCGCCTCGAGCTGAAGTGCACCCCCAATCGGCGAAAGAAAGACAGGTGGTTACAAGCGAGTTCTTGCACGCGTTCTGCGTGTATGCAAAGACCACACGTTCCAGAATAAATTTGTTGCATATACTCAGCGTGCTCCGTGTCAAACGCAAATAAACTTTGGTACCTACGAAGTGAGTTGGTACCACAAGGACTGTCAGTTTCATTTAAAAACACGCCCTCTTTTATTCCACTCAGAACGGATTGTATAAATGTTGGACCTTGGTGATATGGATCCAATTTCACAGTGCTTCTTAGCACGCGATTTCATGCTTACAGAGGCTCCATGTCTTTCATGGAAACCGTAAGCAGTCAGCACAGCCAAAGGTATGCTAAACTCGAAGGAAAGATTTGCTTAAACATAGTGACGTACATGTAACGATAGAAATCTCTATGCCTGTGCAACCATGAGCCCTACCAAGCCAAGCGCTGCCATGAAAAAGGTTAGCAAATTTTTCTGCTAAGTTAAGCACGACTCCTCTGCTAACTGTTAAGCAGCTCCATGATACATGGCCATGGTCTTGACTGGTAAGTATGCCTCCTATAGTGTTTGCAGAAAGATTACAATAATTTGCCATTTTTCCCTCCAATAGGTGATAGAAGAAGACAAACCCAAACCAGTATTTGGCATATGCATGGGCAATCAACTGACGGCATTAGCAGCAGGGGCAAAGTCCTACAAACTGGCTTTGGGCAACAGGTAATAAAACCTCTCTGATAATCAATGAATTGGATTTCAAGTTGAAGTACATGTGAATTTCTATGCATCAACGCTTTGTTTTGGTGTGATCCAGGGGTCACAATCAACCAGTGCTTAACATGATTAACGGCCAGGCATTCATCACGTCCCAGAATCACGGCTATGCCATCGACGAAGCCACTTTACCCAAAGAGTGGAAACCCATCTTTGTCAATGCCAATGACCACAGTAATGAGGTAAGTTGGCATGTCATAGCTTCAAAGGGTCCATAAAAAACATTGTTTCTATTGGAAACAGACATTCACATGTATCCATCTTGTCCGTGAATGTTGCAATTGTCAGTCTTCAGGTCCACCTAAATTCAGGATTTTTTCATGTTCTTCTCCAGGCATCCTCTTAGACACAAGAACTACATTGTATATCTTGAAACTTTCTTCCTAAAGTCAGTGAGGTGTGCTTTCAGCACGTTTGTGGGTGGCCATTCACACCCATGTTGTTTTTATAAACTGGCTGAGACCATTACTAGGTATGTACATGTACTCTTCTTGATCCGATTGCAGGGTATTATGCATGAATCGAAGCCCATTTTCACTGCACAGTTTCATCCCGAACACAAAGGAGGTCCTACAGATACAGAGGTATGGGAAGACATGAAATTACTGACTTGAATATTGGTACAATAAAGAGCATGTAGATGTAGATCATCATCCCAACTTTAACCTCATTTAAGGTCTTTTGGTCATACTTGAGAGTGATTTCTATTCTATTCAGTTCAAGACAGTTGACTCCTCATCTTGTTCTTTTTCTTATAGTTCATGTTTGATACGTTCATGGAGCTTGTGAGAACTGGACACAGTAACATCAAAACGGCCATCAGCCCTGTGGTGCCGTTACCGGAGCGACCTGTGGTATGTCCAAGATGTATTCCGCAATCCCAAATATCTGCCAACTGTGGTAGCATTTGTTCTAGTGGGACGGACTGTTTTCCACCAACATTAGCCAACAAACAACAGCAAATGATTTCTTAAATAGATCACATTTCCTCCCTACAAAATGATTTTGGTTTATAATTTTGTTTGTGTACTGCTGCTTGGGACAGTCGATGTCTTAAGAACAATCATCAAATCAGATGCACAGTTAGCGAGTCACCATGTCACTTTCTTTTTCAGATACTCGGTTCCATTGTAACTGATACAGAAGATCTATACATGCAGCTCATGATGTTAATTCTGTACATTAATGCATTCATAGAGTGCAGACATGGATTGCTTCTTGTACATGGTATGTGGAATGGGAAAAGCAGCGTCTGAGTTTAACTGAGTTGGTGTAACAGTTCCCATCGTTCTCCTGCTCCAGGTTTCCAAGGTTCTTGTTTTAGGATCCGGTGGTTTATCTATCGGCCAGGCTGGTGAATTTGACTATGCCGGATCCCAAGCCGTCAAAGCGCTGAAGGTAAAAGTTGAAATATACTACAGATGAGCAGGGTCTCGTTGTCAAAGAAAAAGGAGCTCCGCCCCTTGACAAATTATTTTGGGTCAAACAGAATTTGGAAAACTTCAGAAAAAAATACATTTTCAAAGATTCAAAGGCTTTAGTGGGCCGGATCCAAAGAGTTGATTAGATTTGTCTGGTAAGCTGGTATCCATTTGATAAAAGTAGGTTGAACTGTCGTTCCCTTCAGAGCCTTTCATTAAAAAACTTGTTAATATTTGTCCAATAGCAGTGCAGTTGTCATCTCTAGTCCTGAGTAGCAGAGTGAGAGTTTCAAATGTTCAAATAGCTCATGGCTTGACTCAAGGAGCAATAACTTTTATGGACTTTTATTGGACTTATAGACTTGTTATGCACTTGAAAATTAAAGCAATGACCATTATCACTCACTGGACGATTGTGCCTGGTATCCATGGACAATTTTGTGCACAGGTTACCAGGGACCAGCAGTCGACAGATGGTCATCACTCTAACGCACCCTTTATTGGCAGTTGATGGGTTTATATGTTTCCCACAACAGGAAGAGAATATCCAGACAGTATTAATGAACCCGAACATAGCGTCCGTCCAGACCAACGAATACGGAGAGAAACAAGCTGACAACGTCTACTTTGTTCCCATTACCCCTGAGTACGTTATTGATGTCATTAAGCGTGAGAAGCCAGACGGGATACTGCTGTCCATGGGAGGGCAGACGGCGCTGAACTGTGGAGTGGAGTTATTCAAACAGGGTATATTCAAGGAGCATGGAGTGGAGGTACGTACAGATATTTATTTCCCCTCATTAAAATCCGAAATGTGGTTTCTTTTTTAAATGAACTTCATTCTTCTTAAAATTGATCAAAGGTTGGGCAAATTGTCCCTCAAATGGGTGAAATGTTGTTAAAATCAAAACCTTTTAAAACAGATTCTCAAGAATTGGGAACATAATTTATAGTTTACCTACAAAATTAGTGTCATACAGAAACAAATTTCTAGAAGTGCAAATAGACTTTCACTGTTTTTGAATTTTTCTTTTTTGACAGGTTTGAAAAACTGTTGTATGTGAATGTGACATTCAGTTGATATCCTTCATCATGCAGGTGCTTGGAACTTCAATTGAATCCATCATGGCTACTGAAGACAGGCAGACCTTCAATGACAAGTTGAAAGAAATCGGAGAAAAGATTGCCCCCAGCTTTGCCGTTGAAACAGTAAGTAGTTCTATAAAGCACAATACTTGGTTGTACTACAGTCCTTTGTCATGAATTCCAGGTAAACATATGCTTTAAGTTTGAAAAACCCAAAGCTTGGTTATCAAGTACTATTTCTACTCGACAAACACTGGCAAATTTCTTTCTATGGCATTTGTCACATTCAGTTGAAAAGTTGGTCACATGTACTCCTTGGAATTTGCTCTTGAAGGGCCGTGCGCACAAAAGGGCTACACTATGTTGTCTGCCCATTTTGTATGTTCTGTTGCAATCTTATGTCAATTGCTCATCTTTTTTTTTCCAGGTTGAAGAGGCTTTCCAGGCTGCGGAAAAGATTGGCTACCCTGTCATGGTGAGAGCTGCATATGCACTGGGCGGACTGGGTTCAGGGGTCGCCAAGGACAAAGAAAAACTCCAACAGATAGCTACACAGGTGAGCCAATCTGGACTGTTGCCGCGTTTGCAAATTCATGGCAGGGGGGTCAGGGGTTAAAAGCTTTGGCATTCCACGTTTTAAAATTGACAAAGGAAAAATGCTTTACTCAATCAGATTTCAACCTTGTATTAGCACAGTGTTGATCTGCATAGAAGCACTTTACTGTGTATTGTTATAGTTGTAGATTACTAAACTGCGTATTTTTTTATCCAAAGGCTCTGGCATTGTCTAATCAACTCCTCATTGAGAAGTCGCTGCTAGGTTGGAAGGAGGTTGAGTACGAGGTTGTGAGAGATGCTGCCAATAACTGCATCACTGTCTGCAACATGGAAAACTTTGACCCACTTGGTGTGCATACAGGTATGTACCCTTCTTAAAAAATATCATGACTCCTCCCACACTGTGCAAATTCCAGCAAATCAAACCTGCACTGAAGTTTGGAGTTTTAGGTTTTGGAATTTATGTCATAAAGGGACGGAGGGACTGACAAATTTTAACTTAGCTGACTCAGATAATTTGCAGAACAAAGCACTTCGATTCTATTAACCCCTTCACACTGGGAACCGTTGACAGCCACGGCTGTGTGTGAGGATTAGTGTATACCACACATACAGTCTATTCACCCTTCAGCGGCTGGTTCAGTGGGGCCTGCTGATGGACAAAGCCCTCCATTCAGGGCAGACCACAGCCCAGCAGTCACGGTCAAAAGAATTACCGGCGCGAAGGGGTTAAAGCAATGTATATAATAGACAGAGTCAATTTCAGATTCGACATTGCCCTGTTGTAGGCAATGTGTTCTTTGGCATTTTGCATTGCTTTGCACATGTCACGGGGCAAAACAGCTGATCTTGACTTATTTTCACTGTGACCACACTGAAAATTGTAACTTTGGGTTATGATATATGTTTTAATTATAATTTTTGTAATGTATGTCTCTGTTCCAGTTATAAATTTACAGTTGGCCGGCTTTTGCACACTGAAAGTCGGTGTCAAGTGATTAAACATGTGGTACATAGTCTATAAAAGGGGCACTTCAACGTCAAAGTTTGCTCGTGGGTCAGAAACACTTCCTTGAAGCACAAAACACTCTAGCAGGGTTTATTCCTCAAATACACTGTTGTGAGTTGCAACACAGTGCGCATATCAGTTCTTGCACTGGTCCCACTAAGCAGTGCTATTGCTTAGGTCAGACTTGCTGGGAGTTTCGATGTTCTGACGATGTGTTTTTCAACCAAAAAAAAGGTGACTCCATCGTAGTGGCCCCTAGCCAGACCCTGTCCAACCAGGAGTACCACATGCTACGGGAGACAGCTCTGAAGGTGGTTCGCCACCTGGGCATCATCGGCGAGTGCAACATCCAGTATGCCCTCCATCCCACCTCCCTGGAATACTGCATCATTGAGGTCAATGCAAGGCTGTCTCGCAGCTCGGCGCTAGCCTCAAAGGCGACAGGGTGGGTCTTTTGGATGAAAACAATCACAATTGTCAGAAATTCGAGTTTGATAATCAAGGGATTGCCTCCTGATTCGAGTTTGATAATCCAGGGCTTGCATCCTGATGATGTGAGACCATCAGAATTCTTTTTTACTCAGACCCTTCCTGTGTCCCTGTGAGGCGAGAACTATAGGAGCTTGGTCTGGTTCAACTCAATTTAAAAGTACTGAGTAGCAGGTTGAAGTTAAATCATCGTGTTACTGGAAAGAAATGTTGAGAAAATGTGATGGAAACTTCCTGTAGGATGAAGATAACTAGAAAAAATCAGCAACAATTTAAACCAGTTTTTAACAATGGCTCTGTTAGAGTCATACAAAAAAGAAATGATTGAATGATAAATGAAATGTAAATATGGTGTCTGGAAGTAAAAGGAATAATGTTTTGTTAATGCACCTGTCAATAGGAGTGTTGCATCTGCTGAAAAATTATTGGGTGTACAAACTTGTGTGTTGCTTAATTCTGTGTTACTCTTTGTAGGTACCCACTGGCTTTCATAGCTGCCAAGTTAGCTCTAGGTGTTCCCCTGCCGCAAATCCGCAATGCCACAACCCAATCCACCACAGCATGCTTTGAGCCCAGCCTGGATTACATTGTGACCAAAATACCGCGCTGGGATCTGGACCGCTTCCACCACACCTCCAGTGTCATCGGAAGTGGCATGAAGAGTGTCGGAGAGGTAAAAAGTCTCAGTTACTTAGGACTCAATCTCAGTGTGACTCACTTTGCAATTGGGACCCTGACGTGAGTCATGGGTATCTTGCCTTGATACAGACTTTGTCCGACTTGGCCTTTGATGCCAATTCTGTGATGTTTGACTGTATCATGGTGACTGCACTAGAACTGGGGTTTGTTCTAAGACTGGCTGACTCAGAATGAGTCTGAAATTCAACATTCAGGACTGGGACTCATACTCAGTGGTAGCTCTGACTTGATTGCCAAAAACACCCAACAATCCTTGTTAACGAAACAACAAAAGAATTCTGGTTTGAAATATTGGTCGAGTCTTGTTGAAGCCCTAATAACCCATGCACCTCTAACTAAACTGATGAATCCTTTTGTGAAAAAAAGAAGCCTTGTTGACGCCTTGTACCATCTGTGAATGCTGTCTGCACTCAAGAGAAATTGTTCACAAAGACATCTTGCCTTTCATAGGTAATGGCCATTGGTCGCACCTTTGAGGAGAGTTTCCAGAAGGCATTGCGTATGACCCATCCGTCCATCGATGGGTTCTCTCCAAAGATGCCCATGGGAAAACCCTTCCCATCCAATCTGGAGGAAGAGATGATAGTCCCCTCCAGCTACCGGATACACGTCATTGCCAAGGTAACCAAACAAGTGAACCCATCCTTTCAGGACAAATACTGAGAAATCACCCCACTGACCAGCTCGTTTCCTCGGGTGCATATCTTGTTCTGCAATGAATCACCCAGTACTTTTTGACACTACACACAAATGCATTTACAATTTTTTAAGTAGAAAGGCTGTTATTCACAGAAACTTTCGGTTTCAATCAGGCATGCCCACATTAATAATGTAAAATGGTTCAGCGCTTGTGACTAGGCGTGAAATGAATTAGCAACTGGCAATGACTGTAAACAGATGTTGAAATTTTCATTCTGCAGTGAAAGAAAAGCAGGATTCACTCCCTGATTGACAGTATTTCCACGGAGACCATTCAAAATGTTCCACTATACTGGAATTGTATTCCTCCATTCTCATAACTCTGCTGATGGACTGTCTAAATATTGTGACCCACAAATGTTTCTGAATTGTTCAGTTGGGTGAGGCCAGTGTGACCGTTCAAACTCCTTGTATCGATTTTCCCCATGTACTGTCATAATTGCAGGCTCTTCATGATGGCTACACCGTTGACCAGATCCATGATCTAACAGCCATTGATAAATGGTTTCTGCACAAACTGAAGCGGGTCACTGACATTGACCATACTTTAGCAAAGCTTGACCAGTAAGTTCAACTATAGATCAATAAATTTTGCTGTGCCAAACCACACACAGATGCCAGAGTAATTCCCATTGAAACACAGGACAGGGCTCTGTGGCTCAAGTTGTCTTTTGATGTAGAAAAGAGATCACATCCTGCTTTCCAGAAGTTGCCCTTCACAAAGTGAAATGGATATACTGGGATGTGAACCTTCGACATAATAATCCATGCATCAGTAGTTTCACTTGGGCTTTCTTGGATGTGATATTTGATAAAACTTACGTTTCCCTACACTAACCTGAAGCCAAATACCTGTTTGCATCGAATGTGGTTAAAACAACTTCTCACAAGTAGGAACAGAGATGTTAACTTATTTGGACAGTTTTGTCCTTTTTTCATTTTTGGTTGGGCATTAAAAAAAAGAAGCTAAATCACTCAATGTTGATTAGATTCATCTCTCTGCGGTCATTCAGTACTCACCTTTTTTTTCAATTTCAGGAATTCAGTTTCGCCTGACATGCTCTTGAAAGCCAAGAAAGCTGGCTTCTCTGATCTACAGATCGGAAGCAGGCTGAAGGTGGATGAGAAAGAAGTCCGTAACCTGAGGGAGAAACATGCAGTCAAGCCTTGGGTCAAACAGGTAGGGGAGGTCATGACAACCACAAGCTCATTTGCACATTTGATATCTTTGGCTATACATGCCATGTAGGTCTCACTGGAACCAGACACCACTTTTCATTAATAGGTTACCCCCAGAAACGTTATTTCCTTGTATAAGCTAGCATAACCAAAAGTAAAGCCTTCTTATGACATTATTCCTCACAATCATATTTTGGGAAATTCTTAGCAACTAAAGAAAGAGTTAGTTGAAAGGAAACAAATCTTTTGCAGTTTCTATCTAGTTTGTAATAAAAGGTACTTCCCTTTCAGAAGGGTTGTGTCAGAAACTGAATGCTTTCAGGTATAAAAATTGGAAAAAAAACTGGTCCAGGTACCTGCTATTTTCAGTTGTATATCTTATATCAGGTGTCCAGGTACCAGTCTCAGCTCTAATTTTGCATTTTATTTGACATACTGTCATTGATCATAGATTGACACCATGGCTGCAGAGTACCCAGCTAAGACCAACTATTTGTACTGCTCCTACAACGGCATGGTGAGCACCAGACCTAAGCCTAAGCTTAAAGTTTAACAAATGTGATTTTCACTGCAGAATTCATTGGCTGTTTTCGGTCTTTTTAGGAAGCTATAAGAAGGACTAATTTATTGTGGACTTATCCTACAAATGTGCAGATGCACAGCACTGTCACTGTGAAGGAACAAACATTCAAAATTCATTACAAAAATGCATAAAGGAATATTTAAAAGGCACTTTAAAAACATACTTTAAGTAAGCTTTTAAAAACTGAGAGTGACTGGGCTGTCTGGAGTAATACTGCAGTTCATTCCATAAATGTACTAAAGTGGTGATCAAAACATCGACTTCACACTCGCCAGTTCTCAAAAATCATCGCTCTTATAAAAGAGATTGATCCCACATAAGTCTACCCGTGAACTTTCTTTCAGAATGGTAGCGTCTCATTCTCGGGGTTTTTTGGTCTGGATACAAAGCACATTATCGTTGCTTTTGGTTTTTCCTCAGGAGCATGACGTCACCTTCAACGATCACGGTACAATGGTGCTGGGGTGTGGTCCCTACCACATAGGTAGGTCTTCTATTTGGTTGACGGACGTGTGGCCTAGATGTTACACCTGACTGGTTATCAGATGGTCAGGGGTTTAATTCATGATTTGCACTGTGTCACTGGGCCTGTAACTCAACACCAACTTCCATCCCTGCACCATGGATTAGAAATGTGTATTGGCTTTATCTGGGAAGTAACCGGTGATAGACTGGTATTCTATTCAGTTGGGGAGGGTTGAAGAAATCCTCTCAGTTGTTGAAGACAAGAGAATCTGTAATATCTTTCCCTGCCGGCTATTTGTATTTAACAATGTAGCCAAAGCAAACTAGCGCTATAAAGCCACCATAGCTAGATGTAGGCTTGCAGTCAAGTTGAAGGGCTGCTGTACATGATGAAAATGTCAGGGATGCTGGCTCAAGAGTTCCATGTCCAAAACGGTCCAAGAATACAATTTTATTGAACAGTGAACAAGAAATAACTACGTAAACTGGGTTTTGACTACCATGGCACAAGAATTTCTGAATTTCTGAAATTGTAACAGATGCAGGGTGTGGTATATTAACTAAAATAACTGATTCAAGTGAAGAAACGGCAGCATTGACTTACTCCAGTCCAGCAGGGCTCACGACAGCCACAGAGCGCAAGCATGAAATTCAGTGTAATTCTCTCAACCAAAGGTTTGCAAGAGGCATACTTTTCCATAGATAAATGTACGCTCCCCGAGCGAGCTCAACTCCCAGTCTTAGTCCCTAATTCCAGAATACCCTCAGTTCTAATCGAGGTGGGTCCCGGGCCTGAAAGCTTGATAAAATGGTTCATGTAAATCAGTCATTAAAATACTTGAAAGTTTCAAAATTCCCCTGCACCTAGAGTCTGTGTTCAACACAAGTAAAAGGACATGCGGAAATTCAATGTGTGTGGGTGGTTGGACTAGTCGATGTCATTCACAAAGGGGGAACCATAGCTGGACTATACCTTATGAAGGGAGTTGGGAGATTTTACAACAGTGCACGTGAAATAATGTTCTATTTTACCATCATACTATTTGAAATAATGTTGCTGTAGTAATATTGACAAGAACCCTCTTTCATAAAGTATGTTGCTATTCACCAAAACAGTACTACATGTACTTTGCTGGGAGTTGGGTTCTCCAATTCGTCCCAACTTCACAGAGATATTGAAATGAAAACAAATGCTCAGCAAATTTAATTGCTTAGAAAAAATGGTTGGTATCCAGTCACAAGAAATACACAATATATGACATTTTAGCTAGTATTAAACTGTTTGTGTGCATAGCACATTTTCGTGCTTGGGTAGTCTATGGCTTGCTGATGCACAAGATAAGCCATTGGTTTTTCATGTCGTTCACACCCATCAAACTCCTAGAGAGAGACTGCTGGTACGGACTCTGTTTTGGAAGAGTGGATGGCAGTATGTGACCACACAAGATCCAAGAGTGCAGAACACGGCACTGATTCATGTGACTAATTTTCATCAGAATGAGCTGAAACACGCAGTGTCTTAGCATGGGTGTCACTTGCAAGGTCACAGTGCCTCTTCATCACTGTCACTGAGTCCTCAGACTGACAAAGGAAAGAATTTTGGAAATGCAAACGGACATGGGCAATCTCAACTAACAAAAGCACAAACAAAGTGTCGGTGATCTTTATGCATTGACACCGTGGGATGCAAGCAAACAAATCATCCAACCCAAGCCATTTGCACAGCTGCACAGCTAGACCTGGCCACCTCCACTCCAGGACATTGAGAGTGTGTCATTGTTTCTCTTGTTCACACGGTAGGCAGCAGCGTGGAGTTTGACTGGTGCGCGGTGTCCTGCATCCGCTCGCTGCGGGAGATGGGCCAGAAGACGGTGGTGGTCAATCACAACCCTGAGACCGTCAGCACAGACTTTGACGAGTGCGACCGGCTGTACTTTGAGGAGCTTTCCAGGGAGAGAGTTCTCGATATCTACAGTCAGGAGGTGGGTAAAGTCACTGTCATCCTTTCTGTGATAATTTGAAAAAAGGGTGGCATAAAGAAGGAAAATATGATAATTCCATTCTTTGGATCATCACCTGAGAGTGTCCATATGTAATATGTTTGCATCTAAGCATGACAAGGGCATGGCCTGTTAGAAAAAAAAATGTTTCTGATGATTACAGCAGTAGTTTAAGAAGAGAAACAAACAGGTTTTTAAATTGATTGAAGTCAGTGTGTTAAATATTGCAGATATATACTCGTTGAGTCCTGTTCATAGTTGACTATTCCAGTACAATCTTGCTTTACAGAAAAGCACTGGGGTGATTGTGTCTGTCGGAGGCCAGATTCCTAACAACTTGGCTTTGCCTCTGTGGAATGACGGAGTCAACATACTGGGGACGAGCCCAGTGCAGATCAACAAAGCTGAGGAGAGGTAAAGTAGCTTTGTCAGTTTGGTTGGTTTGAAGTGAGCAAAAGCTTGGTGGTTATTATGTTCAATTCTCTGTCGGGCGCAGGTTAACCTGAGAAAGGGCGAGGAAAGGAATGCGGGTTTTAGAAATGACAGGAAAACCAGTACAGTAGATATGGGACAACATTGCACACTTTCATAAAAGCATGAAACTTGACACCGACAGGAATGCAGTGTATTAATGTGAAAAAAAACTTTTACAAATGTGGAACTATCCTAAATGTACCCTCTAGGCAACGTGGCCACCATTTTAAAATAGGGGCATCATATGCCATGGGTCTATTTTGACCACCTTTCCTAAAGCGGGACATTTTTCAGAACCGAAAAGTCCAAAAACAATTTTCAGGATAAGGAGCCAATTTATGGAAAAGTACACAATTCATCATTTTTGGAGCACATCAGCTGGATTAGACCATGCAGAACCATTCCTTTGCAGTTTAGGACTGATACATACCAAATCTACGTCATAGCTGTTGTAGACGTCAAACTTGAGTCACCAGAGTTTGAGATGTGCTCAAAACATACGCTCTCTAAAGCCTGAAAATACAGTAATTTTTGGGGGATGAAAGTCTGCAGGTACTTGAAAAAGAAGTAATTAATGTGTATCCATGATGTCTCCTTTCTATTAACAGGTCCCTGTTCTCAGCCATTTTGGATGATATCAATGTGAATCAGGCACCTTGGAGGGCACTCTCATCATTGGTAAGTTACAAGTAGAGTTCTGTAACTTAGAACACTGACACAAGTCCAGGTACCAGACTGGGGGAACCTTTTTAACCTTTCAAGACACTAGAACTAATTTCAGTGCTTCTACTTTTTATGCCAGGACGAGGCTCTTGACTTTGCGGCCAGTGTTGGCTACCCATGTTTACTGCGTCCATCATTTGTTTTAAGGTAAGAATTTCCATTCAGTGAAATACTCAAACATTCTTTCACATGTTCAAATAGGTCATCAGTTACTCTGTCGACCTATGAAACTCACATTCATCATTAAGTCATTCACAAAGATCTATTTAATATTACATGCATCATTTCTTGCTTTCATACTTACCATGACTGTAAGTTACTAATAGTATCTGATGTCTTATCACCACCCTAGTGGCTCAGCAATGAACGTGGCATATGGCCCTGATGAATTGAGGAATTTCCTCGCCGCGGCAACCATGGTATCCCAGCAACACCCGGTGGTAATCACCAAGTTTGTCGAGGGTGCCAGAGAGATTGAGATGGATGCAGTAGCACAGAGTGGAAAGGTAAAAATATTGTAATTCTGGTCGTTTTCTGGATGTTTTCCTTGTTACAAGTTGGCCTAATCGGTGGTATTTTTGACTTGTGATGAAAGGATGACCAGCCGTGTATTGTACCGTATGCAAGATGGTTTATTGTTATCTATTCATGCAATCATCATCCACTTTTTAATATTTTCGAAAACTTGGCCCATCTCATTCTTCCTTGTAGTTGAGCTTGTTTGTCAGTTCATGATTTACCCTACAGAATCTGTACAAACAAGTTTATAAAGACTTTATTTGTTCAGAGAACCTTCAAATAGCTTTTCTGTTTTCTGTCCTTTCCTGAAGCCCCCAAACCAGAATAAAAATGACAACTTTCTGATACTCGCCGATGTGCATCATTGGGCCACAAATCACGAAAGCAACTTAACAAAATTGTAGGCCTGTTGCTATTACAAGCCAATGACCTGTGAGTGATTTCACTGCTGAATTGGTAAAACAGTTTAATCTTCTTTCCATGAACCCCCCAAAATAAACAAACACTACTTAACAGCATTGATTCAAACCCTCATTTGTCCAGTAAGTTTTTTGTTAGATTGTGAACTATTAAGTTAATACACTGTCTTCTCTGAGACCTAGTGCCATGCCCTGTATGTCTCTGTTCGTGGCTCCTTGTATGCCCTCTTGGCTTGTCCATTTTTTTATTCCTTGACTAGGTTGTTGCGCATGCCATCACGGAGCACGTGGAGAATGCAGGAGTCCATTCTGGCGATGCTACTCTAATTCTGCCTCCACAGACGATCAGCGCCGAAGTCATCAACAAGGTTTGCCCCCAAAACCTCTTTAAACAGTCGATTCATCTTTCATTACTGCAAAAATGCTTGGTTTTAATTTTTTTTTATTGAAAATGAGTAGGGATTTATGGGCATGTTGCTGTAAGTTTTCCAGTCTTCAAAGATTACATGCATCGCCCTGAATCACAATTACATTCACATCACTTTTTGTGTGATTTGCATGAGTTCTGTAAATTCAGTACCCTGGAATTGCATTTTTTTAAAATAATGATTAAGTCATCACTACCGACAAGCCTGGATGTAACGTTAAATCTTCAAAGTGGAACATGATGAATTATGAAGATGTGTCCTTGAACTGAACTACAAGCATCCAAAGTTAGGTTCACACTGCTGTTACCCCAGCTTTGCTTCATTATGTCGACATACAGTTGTATTACAATTTGTATGGAAATGATTTGATTCGATAGTACATCGACTACCAGCAAGTGTTATAGTCGATAACAAGTTTTCTGGGAGCAATCCAATCTTGTTTACCTAGTCTACATTGACTTAGTATTTTGAATGAGTAGGAGTATGAGCAGTTTGACTCGCGTTCTGGTACAGGATGTGTGGACTCAGATTCTAGTCGTTTTGGAAAATAACTAAATATTTCCACCAACTGTTTTCATGCAAAGAGTTATGTTCTTAGTCAGAAATCAAGGTTCACCCATTTTTTTACTCAACTTTATCCACAGATCAAGGAAGCCACAGCTAAGATAGCTAAAAGGTTTGAAATATCCGGGCCATTCAACACTCAGTTCCTGGCCAAAGACAACGACATAATGGTAAACATATACTTTGCCCTAATGTTGTCCACAAGTCACCGATTTATTTCCTACTTTTTATGATATTGTTAACTGAGGATTCCTCTATACATTTAATTCAACCACTGGTTATCAACTGCTAGGATAGTGAAATTTTATTTTGAACTCACACTTCAACTGTAACCCTCCAAAAGCCTTCAAAATCCACCAGGGAAGTTAGGAGGATTTTAAGGGATTGAAAAAGGTAGAGCCAGCCCAGTCAGGTTACTTTACATTTGGCTTCTTGTTAAAAGTCACAAAGAATGTGCTGTTGGATTCCTGCTCAGTGATTTCAGCAGTTTTAGTGAAGGTTTATAGCTAAAAATCCAAAGGTAGTTAGGTTAGAAGATGGTATACACACGTTGTGCATGGCTCAAATCAACTACTGTACACTGGCCAATCACTCTTGATAATTAAATCTTGTTGCAAAGTTGGAAACTGAAAATAGGATCCCCACACCATTCACCCTCCAATTTAATGACAGGTTAAAACAATACAAGAATATAAAAAATTCAAATTGTATCCAAATGCCTCTAGCTGTAAATTGAGAATATCTTTAATTTGTTAAACCCCATCTCGACCTCCCAGGTCATAGAGTGCAATCTGAGGGCCTCGCGTTCCTTCCCCTTCGTCTCCAAGACCATCAACTGTGACTTCATCGACGTGGCCACTCGGGTCATGCTGCGGGAGCCCCTGGACCGTACCATGTTGCCCACCTTGGACAACCCCTCCATCCCCGAGGGCTACGTGGGTATTAAGGCCCCCATGTTCTCATGGCCACGCTTGCGGGATGCTGACCCACTGCTGAGATGCGAGATGGCATCCACTGGGGAGGTAAGAAGTCAGATGCAAGATGAAAATTCAGAGATGTGAGGTTGACACAAAAAATGACAACCAGCCAAGGCCTTATCAAACTTTTAATCATCAGTGACCTTATCAGAACATTTCAATTTTCAGTGGGTTACTCACTTGTTATGTTTCCTTTTGAGAGAACATGCATTGTGTTTAATCTTTACCTTTTGTACACATTCAGTTGAAAGTGGGACGCAATCATTGTTTATTTTTCAATAGTTGTCATGTAATGAAGTTACAGTTATGATAATCCCAGCATTTAAAAGCATGTTAAAACTGCAAAAGCCTTATAATTTTACCTTGATGTCATTGCAAGAAAACAATGGAAACTTTACAACACTGCATGTTGTAAGTATTCAAGTGAAGAAGTTGTGTACTGTGTTAGCATGCCGTAGTGGAACTGTTGTGCTTAGAATGTGCAGATTTTTAGAACATGGGATTTTTTTGAAATGGACAGGTTGCCTGCTTCGGGCCCAATGTGAATGCAGCCTTCCTGAAGGCCCTGCTGTCAACAGGCTTCAAGATTCCCAAGCAGAACATCCTGATTGGCATCCAGAAGAAGTTTGAGCCGGTCTTCCTACCGACAGCCCACAAACTTCACCAGATGGGATATAAGGTAGATCACCAGGCCACCAAAGGCCCAGCCTGGAAATCACAGGCTCTCATCAGGCTGACACATTAAAGCTTTTTTTATCTTCAGGCCACTTAACCAAGTTTGCCAGACTGGTAAATTGGCCAGGTAGAATCCACGCCTCAAGGAAATCTAATCAAGTCGTCGAGGTCTGTAACTTTTATCAGCAAGGATAAAGACAACAGAAATAATTGATCAAAAGATCCAAGGGACTTACAGATATACAAATCTAACCCCAAGGCAAGGAAATGTAGGTCTGCAAACTGATTCAGTTAAGGCTTCATGGCCACTGAATCCTGGTAGGCCGTGTCAGACTTTAAAAGTTTACGCAAGAGATAAAACTCGCCACAGTAATCCCCATATCTTAACATCACATTGTCCGCATTTTTTGAAACGCGTAAATGGAGGCGCCATGTGAATAAGGACCCCTGAAATAGACCAGACCGTCTCACCTTGTGGCTATTCTCTTTGTATGTCATATTATTTGTTCTCTCTCTTTACTCTCTTACTCCTTTTTTTTGACACGTTTGGATTTCAGCTTTTTGCCACTGAGAAGACCGCCGAGTATCTGACTGAACACAACATTCCGGCCAAAGTAGTGGCCTGGCCGCTGGCCGATCAGCATGAAAAGATAGATGCTCCATCTGCAATCAGGTATTCACATTTTTATGTATTCATGTCCTCAGGACAGTGTTTAGGAGGGGAACTTCTATGAGTCATTTGCTCATTCTTCCTGGAAAGTATCTTGTTGAACCTTGAACTGAATTTAAAATGATTGAAAATTGGTCTGAAGGTGCTTGCAGAGTGGCAACTGAAAAACGAGACTGGACTCACCGGAAAAGACTCCTGCGCTATGAACGTTTTTCCCCATGAAATTGTGGCACACAAGCAATGCAGAATTCAAGCGTCAGATTTGTTATAAATGCCACAAATGTTACACCCAAAAGTGAGCTTGGATTTCTTTCCTCTGCTTTTCTATTCTCTCACAGATTAATTCAGAGCAAAGAGATGGACTTGGTGATCAACCTGCCCAATAACAACACACGCTACATCCAGGACAACTACTTGATCCGACGAAGTGCCATTGATGCTGGCGTGCCACTCATGACAAACTTTGAAGTAAGCCACTTCAACTTCCAAGCACAAATTTATCTTAAAAACAAAAACAAACTTGGCCTCTTGTGGTCGTAGGAATTGCCAATCGTACATAATTTGTGGTGCCAATGCATGCCTTTCATTCGGTAATGCGAAAGTAATCAATTCCTGTATGTTTGGATGCATGAAGCATAAACTGACTCCTACACAGTTAGTTGTACACATTACCATTAAAAACCAGCCACTAAGCCAAAGCTTAAGTGCTGTAGTAGCCCCAGAACAGTTCCCAGATTTCCAACCATGTTACTTAAGTAATCACAAATCAGCCTATCGGTAACACAACACTAAAACCTTCCCTACAGAAGGATTACAGTTGACAGACCCATCAGAAATCTCAGTATGTGCCGACATTTTCAAACGAAGAATCTGCGTTTGGAATGTAATAAAGCAAGTACGGCAAGGTTTAATTTGGGGAAGTATGGCTTGCTCCTGAAATGTTGGCTTATTGTGACTACAGTGCAACGCTGCTGTAACGAACAACACTATACCGAACAAGCTGGTATACCAAACATACCCCTTGGCTCCCAAATTTCCCATGCACTTTTACTGAACACTGAAACTTTACTTAAAACAAAAGAAACAAATTTAGGACTGATGACAATGACGGGAAATGACTTACGAAAATATTGTACCTTTAAAGGAATAACAGCCGCCATGCGGCGTAGTCTGTGTCATTCATGGATACACATACATTTGTGTCCATGACCACCTGTCCGTGCACACACCTGTGCATTCTTTACATCAATTTGAGTGTACTGAGGGTGTTTCTTTCTTGTTTTCTGTTACCAAGATGAATTTTGTGAATTTTTTTCTGCATAAGCCTGCTTGATCTAGTTACCAGTTTGTGCTTTTCGAAATATTTCGCTTTTCACCTGTGAAGCCTAGCGACATGTTAAATTGCCGCTATGAGGACATTTTGTGCATGACGTTGTCATATTAAGTTCCGGCCAGGCAACATTTTGTGGACATTTGGATTCTGATTTGTGGCTATGGGCTCTGCCTGCTTCGCCTTTATGGGTACTTAACGTCCAATTTTCATGGGAAAGCTCTTTCTGTTGCTTTCCGCTTGAATTAAGTCCACGGAATGTCATTTCGCACTCTGTCCCCAGTGGCAATTCGCTAATGCAACATGTTTCGTTCCTGGCTCACTGTCAAGCCTTAATCCAGAAATATGTGCATCCATAAAATAAGTCCATTTAGTACTCCTAGGAGCTTGCATCTAAATGGAAAGCACTGATCCATCACATTAAGCTCGGTAAAATGTTGCATTGCACTAATGACTACTTCAGGAGAAATATTAATGAATATTTACAACTTTTCTTTATTTCAAGATTTTCTCTCTGCCCAAATATATAAAAAAAAAAATCTGTTATTTCAGCAACCTTCAAAAAGCTTCCTTGGTAACTTTGCTGTTACTGTACTGATTTAAACCTTCTCTAGGTACCCGCAAAGATTCCAAATTACTCATATTATTACCACTAGTAGAACGGTACCCACATTTTTCAAGGATCAGTGTTTCCTATGTTAATGTGCAGGTTTGATTTCACCTGTTGACTGAACATTTCCCAAGGGTGGCACTGATGATGTGGTAACAGTGCATGGTGTATCAAGCAGTCGGTGCATGTCCATCACTGGGCAATTTGTTTTGTTATTTTCATGGGATCTCTGTAAGATCCTTGTTTCCTTTCAATATTTCTGTTGGCCAAGTTAGCAAACTGGCAAACTAATATATCAGTTGGACTGTCATTTTTCAGAGATGGCATTGGCTTATTGTGCAAATATTCGGAGACTTTGTCATAACACTGATCTCTACTGGATAGCACATCAAGACTGAGGGCTGGACGTCCTTAGGCACCATCTTTGGAGTCTCAAATGCCTTTATGTGCTTAACAAAGCCTGACTGTGAGACTTAAAGTCTTCGTCACAATGGACTCTCATGTCAGGACTATTGTGGGTCATTTTATCAGCAATTAGTTTATTTCTATTTATGCTAGCGATATTAAAATAAAGGTTTTCTCTATCTTTAATCCACAAATGATTTAGTTATCGCTTGATATTGCTCGAAAACGTGGAAAATCACAAATACCCAGAGCTCCTACAGCCCTGAATACTGTGGCTGCCATCTTCAGAGGTCAAATTTAACCAGGGGCAGGGAGGCATCATTTGTTTGTGCACCGCAGCATCCAGTCACTGTATAGAGATCAGTGGTCCTGACGTTGTGCTGCACATGCTGTCCTTTCTTGATTGGCTGTTGTGGCTTTCCAATCCAGCATTTCCTTGGGATACCGTTGTGCTCAGGGGTCAGTCATTAGATATACACCGTACATGTAGTCCTCACGAACCATCAAAATACCTTTAAAGTCTGCTTAGTACTTAAAAAATCTTCACTTTGTGAGTTAAGATCCATTTTTTTTATTTATCGGATTCGTTGAACTTGTTTGTTGTTCAGGTTGTGAAGCTCTTTGCCCAAGCATTGGACCACGTGGGTAAGCTTGATGCCACGACCCTCTTCCATTTCAAGAAGCCCCGTCACAGTGTGATGAAGACCCTGCATTGAGATGTTTCATGCGACAGGACATCAGTCAATCATCAATTATTAGGCACTCAAAGTCCAACCCCTGCCCCCTCAGTCATCAATAGAAGGCACCGTATAACTTTGGTTACTGTGTGACTTTGAAGTACATGTGCTGGTGTCTGAAGCACTTTGCTGTTGAAGAGTCATAACAAATTTTTTTTTTTTGGGTCAACAGAGAGCAGGTCAAAACACAAGCTTCTCTTTTGCAACTTTAGTTTACAGGGAAAAGAGTTTAGGCGATCAGAAATATGTACATGCATTTGTGTAGCAACTACTGGTTACATGTTAACTCGGATACAAGTATTCCAAATTATCAACCGAATGTGAGGTCTCTATTTATTTTATTTATTTTTTCCAAATACGTTTGTGGATGAGATCCATTTTATAACTGAAAACTGGGTTCAAAATGACCCATTAGGTCAAAAGTCACGATCCTAAAGATATCAATATAGTGTCATAGAGAGTCATTGAAAACTTCTGTTTTCAAAGAACAGGGTTGAACTGTACGAAGTACACTAATACTATGGTTATCTTGGCGTCTATTAAAAAATTCATATTGCATAATTTTTACTTGGTGTGTAAGTACATGTATCTGCTTTGTTTTGTTTTTTTCACACTTACGCTTTTCACCCTCTGTGGGTATCGGTGGAAGCTCTAAAGGCACTTAAAATGCTAGAGTTTGTAGAAAATATTAAATTTCATAGAATTTTAGATAGAGAGTAAAGGTTGTTGTGTTGGTTTTGGCAGGGGTGTGAGTGGCCACGTACTGAAAAGCTGAGAACAGCTAGCCAAAAGCTGCAATTTAAAGTCCCCTTAAGTTTGTACATAACAAATGTGTAACAAATCTGAAATATAGAGTAAAAATGTAACCAAAACAAGCTGAAATAAGTTGAAAAGTGGAATTCTCACACCCCTGCTTTGGAAATGAAATCTTGGAAATACAGTTTTGAAATATCTTTGTTTGCAGTTTGAAATATTTCCCCTTCATGTTCTGGGCACTAACATTATTCAAATGAATTCAGACGAAATCCATGCTGTTGCAACTGTTTCAAGTGACATTTAAACGTGTAAGTTAAACCAGCTCACTTTTGTATGAAAAGATCTTCAAACGCCAAACAGAGGAAAAGAAGTACAAAAATTATCTTCGGTATACTTAATATTCTCCTTTTGAGGCTATTGAAATTGTCTTTATGTGGCTCACTAGCGTCATTTCTTGAGGGAAAATTTATTTTCTTGAGAAAAAATGCAAATTGAAATTATATTTTTACAGTCTTGGCAGCAGAACTGGGCAATACTCTTCCCACTGGTGTTGTGGTTAGCACACCGTCACCTGTAAAGTGAACGACTCCTTGCTTTTTATGCCCGAATTCCTTTGGTAGGCTACTTGTACTGATATTCATTATTATCGTCGTCAATATCATCATCGTCAATATCATCATCATTATCATCATCGTCAATATCATCATCATTATCATCATCGTCAATATCATCATCATTATCATCATCGTCAATATCATCATCGTCAATATCATCATCATCATCATCATCGTCAATATCATCCCCAGCAAATGTCGTCTCACTGTTGGGTGAAGGCCTTATCCAGACTGTGCCAGGTATTTTTGTTCGGTGTATATCTTTGCCAGGCTTTTGATATCCTGCGTGGCCATCTCGTCTCTCCATTTTGCTCAAGGTCTGCCACATTTTCTTTTTCCGGGAAGAGGTTGCCATTCGATTGTGATTTTGCTCCATTTTTAGGTTTTGTTCTGCCGAGATGTCTAGCCCATATCCATTTTAACCTTTTTTGCTGTGACTGATGTATCATTGGGTTTTGTTTGATCCCTGATCCAGGCATGTATTGTGCTTTGTCTCTCCATACGTACCCCAGCATTACCCATTCCATTTTTTTTTTTTTGGCTTGTTTGAATTTTTTTTTTACTTTATTCAAAGACCATGTTTGGCTTCCATACGTCATGGATGGCATGGGCGTCATTCCTTTCCAAACGGCATGTTATTGTCCTTTCTGTGAGGGTATCTTAATGCATTCTGAAGGCTGTTCTTCCTGCGTTCTCCTTATAGGATCTCGAGTCTGGTAACCATCTGGCCAAATTTCTTGCCCAAGGTGTATGTATTTGGCTACCGATTCCAATATTTCGGTTCCATTGTTTATAATTTGTCGGCGTGCAACTTTCCACTGACATCGATCCCCGGTTCATCGTCTTGAAAATTTCTTGAAGGGCACCACAGAGAACTTGTACGACATAATATCTCCTTGTCGAACTCTTCTGATGATAAATTACAGCCTAATAAATTAATACATGCTATTCTACAGAGACAATTAAACAAGTAGATGGTATTCTTGTGATAAAACTTGTCTGAAGTTGTGTTGCTTATTATGTTGTATTTTGAAATACAATGTTAGACAGAAGCACCCCCGTTTAGAAAACTTTTCTGATGTACAGAGAATTAATGCCCGATTTGCTTCAGCAGTTTTACAGAAGATCTTATGGCATAGCCCGGTTCCGGGTGACGGAAGGATTCCTTAATAATGACATTTATGTTGAAATAACATGTACATGTATACAGGAGTATGTACTTTTGGAAACCATATTCATCATTCATTCTGTGCTCGTGTCACTCACCTTTTTTTGGGGGGGGGGCAAAACTAGACTCGCTTCGTGACGCACTGGGTGACACTCGGTGCTCGTACACAGATGTAGGTGCCCGTCCGTAGTAAAGTCACTATCACAGCTTGCGCTCAAGTCTATGATTTGACAGACGGCATCCTGAGTCAAGTTTTCGACGTGCCACGATATCTAGTCCCAGATACGTCAAGCATCGATGAGACTTCCGAAATAAATTACACCTCGAATTCTCCAAACAATAATTGGACCTATACCCGCTCACCAATCTACACATGGACTCTGATCTCTATTCGGTCAAATCCAACACTATCTCGAGCGAGATTCATATCAACCCAGAACGGGCTTGTGCTGTTACTCAATGGCTACGTGTACATGTGCAAATTCATTATTGAGACTGTTGGCTTCAGACAGACAGGTAAACAACCAGAATATTTCACAAATCACGCTCAACAAACCCACCCAAACCAATCAAGTAATTTATCCCTCCAAGTCGAAAAGGCTCCTTTTACTTTCTCTATTCTGTAAACTTTCTGCACTCGGATTTTCTACAAAGACAGTGGGGTCCCGTTTCTTTTTAAGTCATCGAGAATCAGTATGAAATGTCATGAAAGGCACCATTGATCCTACCGGTCAAGTAACATAACACGCTGCGGCCTTTGGTGACTTCTGCGCATAATAGTGAACAAAACTGTCTCAAGCCTTGCATTGAATAACACAGACGTCATTTCCAGCGCGAAGGACCCGATATATGACAGATATAACATTATTGGTTTGATATTGCGGACCAACACGACAAACTGGAAAGGATAAGAACCCGATAGGGTTGCAGCGGAGCCACAACTGATTACCCGCAGTGCGAATTAGGAGTGAGTGGAGGACGGTGACTTAGGCTCCTCATCAGCCGAGCTGTTGGCAGCTGATGATCCTGTAGACAGCGTGGGGCAGTAATCCAACCTCAAGGAGCAAAACTGAACACACACGAGATGGTGCAGCTCGTCTGTTCAACGCAGACTAACCACTGACCGCCGCCCTACGGCCAAGAGGCAGGGTAAGTAGACTTTAGATGGTGATATTTTGCAGGGTGTTCTCAACGCTGTATGCATAAGTGCTTGGATTTGTTCGAACACTGACGTTCAAGCTCATTTTCCACGTGTCGCTGGTTGATTTTGTCGGAAGTCAAGATGGTATAGATAAGAGAAACGACAAAAGAGACAGTCTGGCAGGAAGACATACGGACAGATACCAAAGAACACTGAGAAATCCCGTATTGGAACAATAAAGGTGTATAATTGAGATAGGGAAGGAATTCAAGAATATCATGAAGGAAGAAAAATGCATTATCCTTGTCGGGCCCAGTACAAAAGTCAACGAGAACACATTTTCAAAATAAAGCAAGAAATAAATCAATAAAATAAACACAAATACAAAACAAAATTAATTTTATATATAGACCAATGCTAAAAATGAAAAATGTATCCCTTTTAAGTATCGTGAAAAAAATACGATCACAAGTAAGCCAAAACTGCCCTTTCCTGTTAGAACACAACAGGGGCTGTATTGTCTTTGTATCCTCCACCTGCTCAAGATGCAACTCAAGACTCAAGGGCCATTCGATAGGTTGGAAAGCAAGCAATACAAACAAAACCAAAATATGTTTAAGATAAAGAGAATTTGGAGCTTTGCAATTTGTGTTTGTGGTCTGTTGGATCCACGAACACACTGGTTCGATTCCTAACTTTCTCCCTACACTACTGATCACCCGTCTCAATAATAGAGGCCCATGGGTTTTGTTGAAAATTTATGTCAGAGGACGATATCTTCGATAATAAGATGAAAACCCAACGCTTCCGTGAGTGAACGCTTGGAATTAAACTCCAAATGCAAGCTGTCCCATTCAATTTGCTGACTCGTTTCGATAATTAGCTGGTACGCAAAGACAATCTTTTTTCTCAGATAGGGCCTATCTCTCGGAAGCTTTTAGCAAATTTAGTGACGGACCAAAGAATTACAACCATGACCAACCCCGCGATAGGGGGGATGAGAGTACACCACTCTAGCCGGATGGACGTTAAGATCGATGGCTATTCCCATCTCCCCTCCCATGGAACTAAAGCTTAGAAATGAACACGCTCCATGCAGAACAGAGAGGCTGAAGAGAGGCAGGGCCCACACTGGGCCCCCACACTGGCCCTACGATTTTGCGTCTACATTTTTGCCCTTTCACACTTTGCTTACTCCGCGCTGAGGACGCGCGCGCATTTTACGAGTGCACTCAAGCGAAATGCCAAACCCCAGATTTTCCCGTTTGTGACTGAGCCCACTGATCATGGGCGTAAATCCGGGGGAGGGGGGTAGGTATCCCCCACCACTCTCTGACCTGGAGGTATGGGCTATTGAATTTTCCCCAACTTTCTGTGGCGAGAAACCCGAAGGATTGTGAAGAATTTTTCGGATTGCCAACAACCAAAATATACAATAGCACTAAGGAAGGGGGCTTTTTTAAGTTATAAATGCGCCGTTTTGATGTAAGGTTCTGTAGGAGTGTAATACATATGACCGATGTAAATCTGTATCATGAACATGTCGTATGGTGTCAGTACCCCCCTACACCCCCCCCCATTTCCATAGGCGGGCAAGTCATCCCCTTACAATCCCCCAATTCCCGTTACACCACTGCCACTGATAAAACACTACTCCCGTTTATCTCTGGTGTCCTTAGATACAATGTTGGGTGGACACCGCGGTGCATGAACTTCTCAGCTGGGTTGAACAACTCGCATAATCTCTGCCCCAGTTCGATTTGGCCCTGCCCATTTTTAATGTTGTTAGCCACGACGTGAGTCTGACGCAAGCTTTTTGATTAGCTCGGAGACGCGACAAAAGCTCTCAAATGTCATTAGCAGCAGCCTTTTTGTTCAATTATTTTCCAATTTTGCTTGAACCGAATATGAACTGAGGCCTGTCGCAGGCTGTAACGAAACGGTAAAAACAAATCGAGAAAATTATTATGATTTACCACTAAGCATTTAAAGGAAAAAAGAAAGTGAACGTGTATACAGAGTCATAGACTCAGTTCTGTACCTAAAATTAGAGGGCTAAATATATGAAGTCTTCCATTTATATGACCTAAAGTGTTCATATACAGTATATCATGTTCACGAATGCTCAAGACATGTTAGCAGAACGACAAAATAATAAGGCCCTCAAACAATCTAAAACATGTCCTCAATTTATGTGGTCATGAAAACAGACTCTGTTCGTAATTATGATATGAAGCACGTGCGAGATCCAATAGCGACAGAGAAGACACAAGGAGTCGGGTAAGAGTCTTAATTTAAGTTACCATGGTAATTTCAGATTCGTGTGGTGACGGCAGCGCAGGGTATTGTAAAGTGTTCCGTAGTTTTAAAAAAAATCGTGAAATTGTATGCTGTAGAGTCTACACGGTTATAATATTAAATATTTGGCGGTGAATGCATTGTCAATTCAAGCGCCGGAACTGGCACGACACCGCTGCCCTGTTGGCACTGTATTTTAGGAAATAAAAATAGACACACAATGTCTCATTTGTCCGCATAGGTTTGTTCCCTCTTAAACGCGAACAAGAAAGTATATGTTTTGCCACGAAATGTTTTCAGTCAATAAGCTAAGAGGCTCACGTACGAACTGGGAAATGAAAGTTGACACACTGAGTGGTGATGTCATCGTCAAGGGTACGAAAAATGCATGTGCGGTGGAATCACAGATTGCCAGTGCGCGACAGAGAAGCGGGCACTGTGATTACCTATTACACAAGGAGAAAGATCCTTACATTTTGCAAGATTTGCGTCTGTTAGTGTGCATCACGCTGTCACTGTGCCGTTTACATGAAAACAGCAAAATTTACTGTCCTACTGCATGTCAAAACATGCCACAGATTTTAATTGAATCTATAAAATATACCGCAGCAGACACGCTGGAATGCTTGAGTGTTTGAAAACTCCAATGACCCGACAAGGTATTCGCCGTTTTGTTTTAAGTCAAGGCTTCTAGCGCAACCAGATCACATAAGACCTAATTCCCCCTGATTTTTTTTTTTGCTTTTTCTCTGCCATCTCTCTCAGTATAATGATTACATTTTGCAAGAAGGGCTCGAGGCAACTGGTCATATAAAATAACTCGAGGCTGGCGTGAAGTTAATTACGCTGAAGATGGCTCGAAATCCTCTCGTTTATTGTTTGTAAGGGCGCGTGTTGTATAGTCATATGGCTCACGAAACATCAAGTCATGGGGTTTTTGTTGGCCTTTTAAGCTGGATACTACACGGACACATCCGTACTTCAAGTAGGAGAAGGGTACATTGAAAAATAGCTACTACCACCAATCCCTTGTATAAAAACAAATAAACAAACACCCCAAAAACCCAACAAACAAAACAAATTTTCCTAATCCAAAACGTTTGCGAATTTATTTTCGTTTGCAGGATTTTTGTTTTAAAATCAGCTACATTTAAGGTTTTTGTTACTATTTTTATTTGTGTTAATAAACAGGCGTCCATTATACACCGAATGGCGAGCAAAGGGAGAAGCCGAGTTAGCCAGGACTATCCGGGAAATCAGACAATAATTGCTGACTTGACGTTAACGTCGATGAGAAGTTTCGTGTTTCTTTTGCTGACACGCGTGGAATTAATGAGAATTGACTAACTTTTTCAGCCTACAAAATCTTCTTCCGCAAAAAGTTTTGTTGCAGGATTTTACAGGATATTTAAGATATTATTTTCGTCACTGGTTTTGCTGGCCTACCTTAAAGCAACGGCTGCTTCCTGTCAAACATCAATGGTATATCGCTTGTTTTCCCCGACAGAAAACCTGTTAACTATATAGGATTGCAGATAACGGTACAGATTGGGACCAGTTGGTTCACATTCCAATGAACCTAGCTCATTTAGGCCTACTCTATCTGTCAAAATGTGTTAAGCCTTTTGTGTTCCTCTTTGATCAAAATTTGCCCAAAGAGAGCAGCAGAAATTAACCCTAATAGTCCTCGATCCTTCAGTTTCAATTATTTTAAACTTAAACTGGGTTGAAGGTCACTTGCGCCATGGAGAGGATTTGGACATAGGAGCCTACTTGGGCTAAAGACCAATTAATTACTCTTCTTTCCCTAAGAGCGACCTCTTGAGTTTAAAGTATAAAAGTGAAAAGGTCCAGAGAATACCTCGTTACATTAACCTTCCCCTCCCCTTGGGATGTGTGAGAACAAAAGTAGCATAGATATGAGCGTCATTATACGGTATAATTTTGATGAAAAAAGCCGAAAACATATTCTCTTTGTGAGCAAGTTTTATGGTAAACCTATACAACACACAAAGAATATGCCCTACAGTAATGAAAAATCCCTCTACGAAATTAAGAAATAACAAAAATTCAACAAAAATTGCTTTCAAATAAGTTTCATAGGAAGCACCAATTTGCAGATAAAAATCCGGCCTTGGAGATTTCTGGGTAGAAAGGAATTTTCTCCTTGGGAACGTGCGGAATTATTGACCCTTCCTACAACACTGTACATGTACTCTGGAAACAACGTGGGAATTGCTCATGGGTGGTTGAGGTTATGGATTCTGTGCCTGCTATTGAAATCGACTGAAGCTAATTTTCCCGCATCCAATTCGGCCGAGTGCCTAACCATTCTGTGTCCGGATATTACAGCCGAACGTAATGTGAGCGCTTAACCAAATTCGTTTATAAACTTTGAAGCGTCGTTTCTCAGTGCTCTTTTTTGAATCACTGACATGGCCATCAAGCAAAATGCAATGTAAGATCTTATATTAATGATAAATGTTTCCTTTTATAAGTACACAACATGCGTAGTTTTAAATGTCACGGCCCTTGAGCTGTAGCTGTACAGATGTACAACCAACCACAGTGTAATTTATAATTCATAGATGCGTCAACTTACGTGATAGACCACACAAACGCACTGTCTGTGTTTTTACAAAATCGACACAGGATCATTGTTGATAAAGTCCTAGTGTTTTGGCACGCGCCTGTGGTTATGGCTGCAGCC